GGAACTGAGGAAAATTTTATCGGCTTTTAGCAAATGCACAACTCAAAGAAAAATGTTTAAATTAAGCATTATTTTAGTCTGCGTGAGATATAAAATGGGCCAGCTTGCTGCAGAACAACGATTATTTAAAAGGTTATGGCTAATTTGAATTTGAAAGGGTGTACATTTTTAAAATTGTTTTTGATACTTCCTGTTTTGAATGACATAGCCATCGTCAGCACAATGATTAATATTCTGTTTCAGCACTCGTCACAGTTCTTATTTGACTTATATAAGAACTAGATTCTGTTAGCTGCAAACTATAGTCGAATTTTTACAGGAGTCATTAAGGAGAAGAAGTATTAATAAAAGTGTTCAAATACAGAACAAGGCCAGGCAGAAGAAGAGCAAGATGAACGCTTGTTCCATAGTGATTTTGATACTGCAATGTTTGTACGGTGAGTTGTCGAATTTATTCCTGCTTTATATATTAAATATTCAATAGTCGTCGAAATCAGTTTTCATTTAGGCTGACTATAGGCATGCACGCATGCTTTAGTTCGTTCTAAATACCGGCTTATTACTGACTAGGGGTCTAAATCTCAAAGTCTGTTTAATCAGTGATGTCAATACTGACTCCTATAATGATTTCTATATAGACTCCTTAATGATATGGGGAGAACATTAACATTCAGTGTTTGTTCAAATGTGATAGAAATAACGTTCTCGGTTTTTCTGCTGAAAACATTTTTTTGTCAGAAATCATTATTGGAGAGAATTATTAATGCTACACCCAAGTTTTTCCCTCAAAAACCTAGCATGATAACATCGTTTTCTGATCAGGCTGTTCACTCAGGTATTATACTATTTGGTCGTGTAAAGGTAACGCGAATACGTAGATTTTCGATAGATTTTGCGGTATATTTTGCCCGCATAGAAGGCTATGCTCACATGCATGACTAATAAACAGGCTATTCCAGTTCGTTTGTCACATTCGTTTGTGACACCCTTTTTCCCCTTCGAAAGTAATCCTTCTAAACGGGACAAGTTCATTTGTATATACATGTACTCTGACTAACCCACACGACTTTATACTTATACTGTATATAAGTATATAAGACAATCTATTTCGACTGAATTACACATTTTCAGACCGCGTGTGTTCCATGAAGAAAAAACCAGGCCCATGCTGGGGATACCTTTTACGATATTATTACAACAATAGCTCTGGAAAATGCGAAACTTTCATCTATGGAGGTTGTCAAGGCAACAGAAACAGATTTCGCACTATGCAAGAATGCCAGAAGAAATGTGGTAAGCATGTAGTCACGAATGATTCTGTTTTTGAACGGATTCTCCCATTCCTTTAAAGAGTCTCGGATAATAATAACGGGGCATATACCATATACTTTAATTTGCGCAACCCAACGGCACAATATCCTAGAATAAATTAGCTGTCACTAGATCAACGAAAGGCTATTAAATTGTCATTAGATCAGTGAGAGATTATTAAAAAAAAATTAAAAAAAAGTTCATCAAGTTTAGGTTAGTGTCGGATAAAGATTAGATTAGGATTAGATTAAGATTATGTTAGGGTTCAACTGCTTCAACATGTGTCGCGAATTTATCGTATTGATAATTTCGGGCGTGTTTAACAATTTACTCATAAATAGTATACTAATTCAAAGGTGGAGCTCATGTAGCCTGCGAATACAGCCGGCTTGATTCGCAGGCTAGAGCTCATGCTGCTAATACAGCCTCCTCTCATGAATCGTGAACCAATTATCTTGCGTAATTTCCTAATGAGAGCGAGGCTCCAAGACCAAAAAGTATGTGTGACGCAATTATCGAAAAGGTATATTTCCACGATTATTTCTACAACTTCAAGTCTCAAGTTAAGCTTGTAAAAAGTTCGTCGGATGGTGATTATCAATAAAAATAACTTCGAAAGTATATTCATGCAGGCTTGTCAAGCTATAGATGCCTTTAATATTTTTTATAATTTGGTTTGGCCGCCGCAGCTGTAATAATACTAGATTTTTAAAAATATCATTGACTCAGCTGTTGCTATATTTATACTATGAGATAAACTTTTATAAGTTAATGATGGATGTTGGCACAACTTCAACAGCGCCCTTTCTCACTTCTTAGCAGCTAGGTCATGTATTACTCATTAGACAGTGATTTAAATTATGATCGAGCTTGGCCTTAAATCTTATAATAACTTTTTTCTTAACTCTAGGTCAGCAGTGAACGAAATCAAGTGGAAACAAAACATTTATGGTTGATACGATTAGTTTCGTAGATGTAGCCTACATGCATGCATGTTGGCTTTTCAGTTTTCAGTATAAAATTCTTACATATATGTTTTAACGTTTTAAACTTTTACCTATTCTTTTGTATTGTGTATTACATCCAATCTACAAATAAACACTTGAATAACAAAAACTTGTTGTTTCTTTCATATAACAGAAATATTCATTTTTCTCGGTTTATGCTGAGTATAGCCGGCTACCACACGATTTAACAATGGCACCGCGTTCGCCCCCCCCCCCCCACCTTTACGGAAAATTGAGGAATTTTTTTTGCCCTAAAACAGGGCTAAAAACTGAGTGCGAATGGGGGGTTATCGGAAATTTGAGGGTTTTTGTCGGAAATTTAGAAGGCTTTACCCACCCACTTCCGCCACTGCGCGTTCGGCCCCCGCGTTTCCCCCATCCTCCTAGGTTTTATACGCACTATCTTTTCGGTATTATATACTAGCTTGCTTTAACAGCTTGAGAATTTTTTAATTGGGTGAAACAACTATCATCTATCATGTAATTTTGATTGGTCAAAATAATTAACCGTCTCCCTCTAGAATCACTAATGCAAATTAATTAGGTATAAAATAATCATTCAATAAATGTTTTATGAAATGACCTTATTTTAATTGATTTCGGCAAGGTTTGACAAATTCAGTATCCTGCAAATGCTTTGCGCCTATACATAAGTTTTAGTCGGATTCGTAACACTTTTTTTCTATCGTTTCTGTATACCAAACATACCAAATCAGGAACGCCAATTCAGGGCATTTTTATTTTAATTAATTTCTGCTGGATTTAGCCTCATTTGTATTTAAAATTACATTGAACGAAATCTTGATGTTGGGACAAACGAAGGATTTTAGAGTAGATAAGTTAAGGTGGGTATACTATCTCCAAAATCCTATTCTATAGGGTATCGAATATACATTTTATTCTAATTTTCATAATCTGCATAGATTAACCCGCTGGAAAAGTAGTGTGGGGACACTGTGTGGAAGGCAAATGATTGGTTATTTTGATCAGTGCATGGAATATAAAATTATACAATATATAGCTAACGTTGAAATCCAATCATGTATATCAGTAGTGGAGGCATTTTTTGAGCATCCTGTATATTACGTAAAATTTACTAACATGCATGCAGGTTTGACTCGCAAGTGGATTTGAATTATACACGAAAATCAATTGTTCATGTTTTATTTGTTAAACCTCTTAAAACCAGGAACAATTCCCAAGTCCCACATGCACAAAGCTTAAACTGCAAGCTTCCAGCCCAATTCTGCCGTGAATTGAAATAATTATATAATGCATGGAATTCAATGCCCACAATGACAGGCTGCAGCATTTTCATTAAATATTCTATTTGGACAAAGAGACATTGATAATAATAGTATTTGGTATAAAGTATATGAGAAAAATAAACTTAATTTGTGTTGTTCATCTTTTTGGTCAAGGAGAGTTTGAAATATTTATGATGAACAATGTTAACATAGCTACTTATAAGTCCTGATTATTTTAAAAACATGCAATTGCGCGATTAGAGCAGTCTTCATGCATGTTCGTAGGGCCTAGCACGAAAACCAAGTTTATCACTTTTCAAATTCAAATGGAAGTTGTATGTAATTTTGATATTTGAATGCAAAATTTCAGTGGATAAATCATGCAGTCTTACCTTTGCACGAACTCTGGTCATTAGACAATAATTAATTATAAATGTTTAGTATTGTTTACCCATGTGCACCGATGCAATTTTGATATATATATATAAACTTTTGCAATTGAATTATTAATTTTGTTCCATATTTTCCGGCACCGCAATTGTAAACGTCTGCAACGTTAACATGTTGCTATTATGCCATGCAGTTTTGTCGTGAAACGCCAGAAACGGATATTATTAATTTTCAGTTTCATTTGATATGTGTAAAGTATTATAGTCTCTATAATTGAACAGAATCACCTCTCTTCATTTACATAGCTATATATTTTACCGAGTTTTATCGCATGCGTTATAACTACTTCAAATTTTAGCTTAATTTTTAATAGTTTGGTCAACTCAAATCCAATTCAAAGACTCTCCAATGCACTCCACTGAGAGGAAAAGATAGTTTTAAGTAAGGGGCGGACCATTAGAAATCCCAGGGGGGGGGGGGTGAAAATTCCCCAAAAGAAATTCATGCAAAGAAAAATGCCTGGAAAAAAATTCGCGCAGCCATTACGTCAAAGAAAAAATATTCGTGCAAGCAAACAGCAAAGTGCAAATAGTCTTGAAAAAATTCTTGCAGAGGTTAAATGTATAAAAAATCCTGCAGAGACATGAGACTGAAAAAAAATCGTGCCGCAAAAATTTTATACCCCCCCCCCTCCTCCCAGGATTTCTAATGGTCCGCCCCTAAGACGGTATTCTTTGTTTGCAATGATTGCATTGTAAAGACGACTTAAAATGGCTTAACAATGTCTTCTATAGAATTGTTAGGAATATAGGATTTTATTCCGTTTTTCTACGCGAGGTAGGGAATCGTTACAGTGTTTCTAATTAGTGTCACTATAATGTTAATATTGAAATCGTTCCTTTTCAAAGTTATCTTCTTTCTTCAGCCTCTTTCGTTGTTCACTGTTTGTTTTTTCTTTGTCGTTGTCTAGTTTCGTTTGAGCTTCAGTAGCTTTTCATCAGTTAAGTTTTATTAAGTCTATGTTCACTGACGAATTTGGGTTGTGCACGCCCTTTTATACTAACGGTTGAGGGATCTTTATCCACGTGATCTAGCAAGTGGTGTGATTTGTAGCCAGCCAATCAACGGTGAGGTTTAAAAGTGTGGGTTGGCGTTTGTAGCTCGTTCCAGCCCTCAAATTCTGTTTATTTAAGGCGTTGTCGCACTTGTCGAGTTGGTTCGCTGTTCAATCGATCAATATTAAAATATGTTCACAACTTAAAATACTTATCAAAATATCATAGTAAAATCTTCAACCTATATACCTATGTGAACCTTACTTTACCTACTAAACTAAATTTACTTACAATTTTATTGAACCAAGATTTTGATGACGTAATGTTATCATTACTCAACCGCGCGAAATATACCGAAAAATGATTGACAGAGATGCCCTAAGCATGCACATTTTCATGTCAGAGAAGAACCAGCCTTGGACTTTGAATTATGTAAACACAACAGGCCACCATGCAAGGCTATCGTCCAACTTTGACAGTTTGACAAATGATTTATCTTGCCTAATGACAGATAATTGACACTTTTACACAAGTCCGAAATGATATATACTTTATCTGAGTTTTACGGCAAAAATGCTCATTATCTCTCCATTTGACGTAACTAGTATCTATAATTACCTGGAATGCAAACTGAACTATTTTTATACTATTTAGATATACTTTCGTAACAGAATTTTGGTAACTTGCTTCCTTTTCAAGATATTCAACTTTGTTCCATATGCAAATATCACCGGTGTGACATCACATCGCGTAATGACATTTTAAAAACGCAATATTTTACCTTGATAAAATATTTTTACAAACAAATACAGAGAGTTAATTACCAGTTATGAAATTAATACATATACAAGGGCAATTTTTAAGTGTTTTAGATACGTATTCGTCAAGAAAACTATACTTTTCTGAAAACTCATTATGTGATGTGATGTCACACCGGTGATATTTGCATATGAAACAAAGTTGAATATCTTGAAAAGGAAGCAAGTTACCAAAATTCTGTTACGAAAGTATATCTAAATAGTATAAAAATAGTTCAGTTTGCATCCCAGGTAATTTATATAGATACTAGTTACGTCAAATGGAGAGATAATGAGCATTTTTGCCGTAAAACTCAGATAGAGTATATATCATTTCGGACTTGTGTAAAAGTGTCAATTATCTGTCCATTAGGCAAGATAAATAATTTGTCAAACTGTCAAAGTTGGACGATAGCCTTGCATGGTGTCCTGTTATGTTTACATAATTCAAAGTCCAAGGCTGGTTCTTCTCTGACATGAAAATGTGCATGCTTAGGGTATTTCTATCAATCATTTTTCGGTATATTTTGCGCGGTTGAGTAATGATAACATTACGTCATCAAAATCTTGGTTCAATAAAATTGTAAGTAAATTTAGTTTAGTAGGTAAAGTAAGGTTCACATAGGAATATAGGTTGAAGATTTTACTATGATATTTTGATAAGTATTTTAAGTTGTGAACATATTTTAGTATTGATCGATTGAACGGCGAACCAACTCGACAAGTGCGACAACGCCTTAAATAAACAGAATTTGAGGGCTGGAACGAGCTACCAACGCCAACCCACACTTTTAAACCTCAACGTTGATTGGCTGGATACAAATCACACCACTTGCTAGATCACGTGTACAAAGATCCCTCAACCGTTAGTATAAAAGGGCGTGCACAACCCAAATTCGTCAGTGAACGTAGACTTAATAAAACTTAACTGATGAAAAGCTACTGAAGCTCAAACGAAACTAGACAACGACAAAGAAAAAACAAACAGTGAACAACGAAAGAGGCTGAAGAAAGAAGATAACTTTGAAAAGGAACGATTTCAATATTAACATTATAGTGACACTAATTTGAAACACTGTAACGATTCTCTACCTCGCGTAGAAAAACAGAATAAAATCCTATATTCCTAACAATTCTATAAAAGATATTATTAAGCCATTTTAAGTCGTCTTTACAATGCAATCATAAACATTTGGGGTGAAATTTCGTGTCATAGGCACTTTAAAGCCTTGCCAGAGTCTTTAGGAGCTGTATGTAGCCAGTAGCCTCGTGTAATAGCGCTGAACCATTGCATGGGTGTTACTATAGGCGAACAGCTTAGGAGTGAACAAACATGCAGTGGCGTAACGCTCATCGGGTAGGGTTAGTTAAAAAACGGGCTATCGCCCAGAAAATTAGAAAACGCAAAAGATACAGGTTAAGAATCAATGGGAAAATGCAAAATTAATAATGCTAAATAATAAAGCCTCCATCGACAACAGTAGCTGATTTTTTTTATTCCATCTCAAAAGTAAAACAAAAGTTATTCTTATTAGTTGTTACATGTGTTGGAAACTGTTACAGGTAAACTACGTGAAGCGTTCCTCTTTTGAGTTTCTAAATTGATTGCAATTTTCCTCATTACTTTTGCAATTTAAAAAACTCCCTAGCAAATCCCTTGACTGAAATTTGCAATGTTGCTAAAAGCCAATTAAATTTTCCTCAGTTCCTGTTAGAAGTTCTTAACTTCCTGTTACAAGTTCCTAACTTCCTGTTCTGTTCTGGGCGTTGCAATTGGCTAACAAAAATAATCGGCCAATAACAACGCTCAGAACAGAACAGGAAGTTAGGAAATTAAAACAGGAAGTTAGGAAAATTTAAAATGAAGTTTGTTGCATTGGAATATTGCAACATCCGATAGGAATGTTGCAAATTCCCTCAAGGGATTTGCAAAGAGTTTTTCAAATTTGCAAAGCTAATGAGGAAAATTCCAAATGAGTTATGAAGTCAAAGGAGGAACGCTTCACGTAGTTTACCTGTAAATGTTGTATACAGTATATATTTAATCACGATTTAATCTATCTTAATCTTAGTCGAAGTGTATCAAATTCAATCATTACCATAGTTCGTAACAACGTACTCTACCTACTATACATCAGTCATCAGTGCAGTATTACAGGTAAACTACGTGAAGCGTTCCTCTTTTTACTTCCTAACTCATTTGGAATTTTCCTTATTAGCTTTGCAAATTTGAAAAACTCTTTGCAAATGCCTTGAGGGAATTTGCAATGTTCCTATTGGCTGTTGCAATATTCCAATGCAAAAAACTTCATTTTAAATTTTCCTAACTTCCTGTTTTAATTTCCTGACTTCCTGTTCTGTTTTGAGCGTTGTCATTGGTCGATTATTTTTGTTAGCAACAGAACAGGAAGTTAGGAACTTGTAACAGGAAGTTAGGAACTTCTAACAGGAACTGAGGAAAATTTTATCGGCTTTTAGCAACATTGCAAATTTCTTCAAGGGATTTGCAAGGGAGTTTTTTAAATTGCAAAGGTAATGAGGAAAATTGCAATCAATTTAGAAACTCAAAAGAGGAACGCTTGACGTAGTTTACCTGTAATACTTTTTAAAGAATATTTCGCTATACTTCACTAATCTAAGATATGTTGTCACCCAATTCTTACGACCACGCGCAATACGTAATGTGACGTCAGACTTTCATTACAATTTACAAGCCGTCGATTTATGTAGCTGAAAAGGTACAAATTCTGTAGATATCATACAAAGTTTAGAATGAGTTGCGTAAAAACAGCGTATTTATTTAACAAATATAAAACATTTTCCGTGTTGATATAGGCTACAGTTATATCAACACGAGTGGAAATTGGGAAAACGAGAAAATCCCAATTTCCACGAGTGTTGATATAACTATATATCAATACGGAAAAAGTTTTATATTTGTTTCATAATAAATAGCACAAAGAAATATAAAGAAAGAAATTTTCCGACGTTTCCATGTTGACATTGAGTTATATCAACACGGCTCTTAGCCAATCAGCGTTCAGAATTTACAAATGCTATATTATAAATTACTTTGAAGTTTGAAGTATCTTTTTACAGATTTCACAGAATTCGTTAGACATTCATCCCTAATACACTTGCAACCTTCTTTCTTAATTTAGTAATTATAAATCGGTTAAATGATCTCTAATAAAACCATCACCATTTAAAACCACTTGAAATAATCAAACTAAGATGCAATCTGATTCATAGAAACAAATCAGACTGCAAGACTTATAATAGTACGTGGTTTGGCGCGACTGTTGCTATAAAGATGTGGTATGCAAAAGAAAGGACGATAAAAAGTCTGCAGTATAGCAGATATTTAACGCAAAAAATCTCGTAGTCGTACCAGATTTCGTAGCCGTAGCAAATCTAAAGTTCCTAATGGCATATCTATGTTACGAGGCCACTCTTCATCGATGTGCGCCTTCTCAAGTCATCCTGTGACACGAACCGCGAACCAATTTATAGTGTAGTTGTCGCGGTTGTTACTGAAATTTGCAGTGATAACGATTAACCATGCACGCGCGCGTGTACCATGCCTAAATGTACGGGATTTGGATTCAAAGCCTGAAAACATTAAATTATATTTTAGTGCATGCCATTGTATAGTGGCAATACTCAACTATTTCATAATCCGGGAATGTGCATAAAATCATAACATGCGAGCTTGCAACAAGTTTATGCCTGCCATATATTGACATATACAATCCGTACACATAATTACTTTTACCTTATCATTTTATAACAACTATTAATAATAATTCTCTGTGGTGTTAATTAAGAGTTAACGAGTAGCATTCTTCAGGTGTCTTAAAAAGGTGACCCTTTAGATATCACCATTTTGTTATAAACACCCAAATTTCATTACCCCTGGGATCGAGTTTAGAATTGCATTGTAACTGTACGGGCATGCTGAAACTGAATAAATTGTACATGAAAATTCTAATTGAAAGCTAAAACGACTTAGAAATATGTTAGTCCCGTCAGTTGACTCAGTTCCCTTAAAAATGGTTCAACTGACTATAATAATAATAATAATAATTGATGTTTATTGAAACTCTCTTGCAGTATATTTACACTGAATTAACGAGTCCAAAGTATTACTAAAACTATATTTACATGAATACATACAACTGTTAAAACTATGTATAAACATTAAAAATATTGAAAGGTAAGAAATTGTTCGGATCTTAAAGTTCTGCATTTGGTTGTGTTCTTAAATAAAATATTATTGTCTTGCCCATTTCGTAGGCTATATAGGCTACCTGTATTCGCTCATCTTATGTTTTGGGAGCATAAAATGCAGGGGATGATCCTCCTTCTTCATTTTAGTCATATATTTTTTACATAACAGTTCGCGTCTGCTCTCCAATGTTGGTATCTGTGCCATCGTCATCGATTCATTATAATTGTCTATGGAAGGGAAGATGATTCGAAGTGCCCTTGTCTGTATTGATTCTATCCTTTCACTTAAGTAGTCAGGGATCGCTTGCCATATTGGAACAGCATATTCCAATATGGGTCTGATAGTAGTTAGATACACTTTTAGTATATTCCTTTGCTCAACGTCAGCTCTACGAAGTACGCGGAGGGAATATAGCTTGCTTACAAGCTTAGTTTGTAGATATAATCAACATGTTTATTCCACTTGAGATCCCCACTCAATTGAACTCAAAGTAATTTATAATTGGTTACCCTTTCTACTAGGTGGCCGGACATTTTGCCGAAAGACACTTTGCCGAAAGACATTTTGCCGAAAGACATTTTGCCGAACGGACATTCTGTCGACGGACGTTGTGCCGAACGGACGTTTTCCCGAACGGACGTTTTGCCGAACGGACGTTTTGCCGAACGGACGTTTTGCCGAACGGACGTTTTGCCGAACGGACGTTTTGCCGAATGGACGTTTTGCCGAACGGACAGTTTGCCGAACGGACAACTTGCCGAAAATAGAGATATCTTCTGAACTTTAAAGGTTTCGCTTACACGGTTTTAATTTCTGTGATTAATGTCATTGTCAATTTCGATGACAGGAACTTTGATAGTGAAGTATAGTTTTGTTTTATATTCTTTCAAGTTTTTGACAAGTTTACCCAAATTTCGCGATATATATATAAAAGAATAGTTCCCGTATGGTTCAGATAACTAATTGAGTTCCTGGGAATGATCTCTATATAGCGCAGCTGTGTCATCGACTAACTTTGTTCTTAAATGCCAGTCAGATATTAGCTTATTTGTCATAAACGAGAAAAGAATAACACCAAGTTTTGTTCCCTGAGGTATACCTACTATACCACCATTTGGGGATTTCCAGAGTCTGACAAAGAGTTTTTACTGTTTTACGCGCTGCTCCAAATTAATCAGCACATAGTTCATAACCATATTTATTATATACACAAGGTCTGGATATGAGGTATTCTGCAATCTGATTGGTTCTCTACTAGCAGGATATTAGCTCATATCCTGCTAGTAGAGAAAAACAAAATGGCGGCCAAACTGAATTTACGATGTTTTGCAAACGAGAAAACGGCAAGTTGTCGCTTTTTATAGCCTTCACAGGATTAAAAACACAATGAAAAACTCCCACAAATTGTTTTAAGATTAGGAAATAAATTTTTAATATTTAAAATGGTTAAAAATATATATTTTTGAAAAAATAATCGGCCGAAAGAGCGAAGATAAAAACATAAACAAAATAGAAAGATATTGAAAATATTCGAAAAGCAAAGTCTGTGAATTCAGACCTTGTGTATATAATAAAACAGTTATTCCACTCACTCTCGTCGAATATGAGCGCCTCATCGGCTATCAGCTCATATTCGACTCGAGTTCGTAGAATAACTGTTAATTACATGTTGATAATGAACCTCGCTCTCATGAACCGTGAGCCAATCACCTTGCGTAATTTACAGTACTAATGAGAGCGAGGCTCCAGGACCAAAAAGTATGTGTGACGTAATTATCGAAAGGGCCGGTGTATTGTGTTTACGCACTCATGGCCATGGGTTTAGTATATAGGATTGAGGCATTGAAATGAAAACAATAATTAGCTAGTAAGGCTGATACACTGTCACATTCGTTTAGCCTGTAATTGAATTAATTTTCTTTAAGTCAATTGGAAACATCCCCTAACAGTATATAGCCTAAGTGTTATCACAGTTAATATTAAGTTACACAGTTATTCCTATTTTATTAACTGTGGTGTTATGAATTAAAAAAAAAACATGAAGACGAACGGCTCTCATAATTGAATGTCAAAAAAACACTTACTGTATATAGCTATGGTAAAAAATAAACGGTTTTAGTGGCCATCGATCCTGTTTCGGAATGACACAGACGAATGGCTCTCGTAATTTTCTGTCAAACACACTTATACAACAGGGTGTATAAAAAAAATGTACACCCTTTCAACTTCAAATTAACCGTAACCTATTTTAGTAATTTGACGCCGTATAATTTCTCAATTAATAAATGCGTGAAAACAAGGTCTTCTGCACATGGAAATTTAGGATAACTTCTATTTGTATGAAAAAATGCACAACTCAAAGAAAAATGTTTAAATTAAGCATTATTTTAGTCTGCGTGAGATATAAAATGGGCCAGCTTGCTGCAGAACAACGATTATTTAAAAGGTTATGGCTAATTTGAATTTGAAAGGGTGTACATTTTTAAAATTGTTTTTGATACTTCCTGTTTTGAATGGCATAGCCATCGTCAGCACAATGATTAATATTCTGTTTCAGCACTCGTCACAGTTCTTATTTGACTTATACAAGAACTAGATTCTGTTACCTGCAAACTATAGTCGAATTTTTACAGGAGTCATTAAGTAGAAGAAGTATTAATAAAAGTGTTCAAATACAGAACAAGGCCAGGCAGAAGAAGAGCAAGATGAACGCGTGTTCCATAGTGATTTTGATACTGCAATGTTTGTACGGTGAGTTGTCGAATTTATTCCTGCTTTATATATTAAATATTCAATAGTCGTCGAAATCAGTTTTCATTTAGGCTGACTATAGGCATGCACGCATGCTTTAGTTCGTTCTAAATACCGGCTTATTACTGACTAGGGGTCTAAATCTCAAAGTCTGTTTAATCAGTGATGTCAATACTGATTCCTATAATGATTTCTATACAGACTCCTTAATGATATGGGGAGAACATTAACATTCAGTGTTTGTTCAAATGTGATAGAAATAACGTTCTCGGTTTTTCTGCTGAAAACATTTTTTTTGTCAGAAATCATTATTGGAGAGAATTAATGCTACACCCAAGTTTTTCCCTCAAAAACCTAGCATGATAACATCGTTTTCTGACAAGGCTGTTCACTCAGGTATTATACTATTTGGTAAAATCAGTCACTCTGTTAAATCAAGCGTCAGCTGAATTACTTCTGATACCTCATAGCTGATGACATGCAAAATACTGTCAAATTTTATGAAACAATAATAAGCAAAATTCACACTCTTTTTCCAGCAACAAGCAGTGCGAAATTCATCTTTCGTCCTCAATTTTGCAATATGAAGAAGGAAGCTGGGCTATGCCGAGCAAGTGTACCAATGTATTACTATAATCAACGTCAAGGAAAATGCCTTCAATTCATCTATGGTGGTTGTGGAGGAAACCTAAACAGGTTTAAAACTATTGAAGGTTGCAAAAACACGTGTAAAGGTAACGCGAATACGTAGATTTTACGATAGATTTTGCGGTATATTTTGCCCGCATAGAAGGCTATGCTCACATGCATGACTAATAAACAGGCTATTCCAGTTCGTTTGTCACATTCGTTTGTGACACCCTTTTTCCCCTTCGAAAGTAATCCTTCTAAACGGGACAAGTTCATTTGTATATACATGTACTCTGACTAACCCACACGACTTTATACTTATACTGTATATAAGTATATAAGACAATTTATTTCGACTGAATTACACATTTTCAGACCGCGTGTGTTCCATGAAGAAAAAACCAGGGCCATGCTGGGGATACCTTTTACGATATTATTACAACAATAGCTCTGGAAAATGCGAAACTTTCATCTATGGAGGTTGTCAAGGCAACAGAAACAGATTTCGCACTATGCAAGAATGCCAGAAGAAATGTGGTAAGCATGTAGTCACGAATGATTCTGTTTTTGAACGGATTCTCCCATTCCTTTAAAGAGTCTCGGATAATAATAACGGGGCATATACCGTATACTTTAGTTTGCGCAACCCAACGGCACAATATCCTAGAATAAATTAGCTGTCACTAGATCAACGAAAGGCTATTAAATTGTCATTAGATCAGTGAGAGATTATTAAAAAAATTTTTTAAAAAGTTCATCAAGTTTAGGTTAGTGTCCGATAAAGATTAGATTAGATTAAGATTATGTTAGGGTTCAACTTCTTCAACATGTGTCGCGAATTTATCGTATTGATAATTTCGGGCGTGTTTAACAATTTACTCATATATAGTACTAATTCAAAGGTGGAGCTCATGTAGCCTGCGAATACAGCCGGCCTGATTCGCAGGCTAGAGCTCATGCTGCTAATACAGCCTCCTCTCATGAATCGTGAACCAATCATCTTGCGTAATTTACTAATGAGAGCGAGACTCCAAGACCAAAAAGTATGTGTGACGCAATTATCGAAAAGGTGTATTTCCACGATTATTTCTACAACTTCAAGTCTCAAGCTAAGCTTGTAAAAAGTTCGTCGGATGGTGATTATCAACAAAAATAACTTCGAAAGTATATTCATGCAGGCTTGTCAAGCTATAGATGCCTTTAATATTTTTTATAATTTGGTTTGCTACCGTGACGGCCGCCGCAGCTGTAATAATACTAGATTTTTAAAAATATCATTGACTCAGCTGTTGCTATATTTATACTATGAGATAAACTTTTATAAGTTAATGATGGATGTTGGCACAACTTCAACAGCGTCCTTTCTCACTTCTTAGCAGCTAGGTCATGTATTACTCATCAGACAGTGATTTAAATTATGATCGAGCTTGACCTTAAATCTTATAATAACTTTTTTCTTAACTCTAGGTCAGCAGTGAACGAAATCAAGTGGAAACAAAACATTTATGGTTGATACGATTAGTTTCGTAGATGTACATGCATGCATGTTGGCTTTTCAGTTTTCAGTATAAAATTCTTACATATATGTTTTAACGTTTTAAACTTTTACCTATTCTTTTGTATTGTGTATTACATCCAATCTACAAATAAACACTTGAATAACAAAAACTTGTTGTTTCTTTCATATAACAGAAATATTCATTTTTCTCGGTTTATGCTGAGTATAGCCGGCTACCACACGATTTAACAATGTCCAAAAACTGGAGGACGGGTTCGCCCCCCCCCCCCAACCTTTACGGAAAATTGACGAATTTTTTAGCCCTAAAACAGGGCTAAAAACTGAGTGCAAATGGGGGGTTATCGGAAATTTGAGGGTTTTTGTCGGAAATTTAGAAGGCTTTACCCACCCACTTCCGCCACTGCGCGTTCGGCCCCCGCGTTTCCCCCATCCTCCTAGGTTTTATACGCACTACTGATCTTTTCTGGATTATATACTAGCTTGCTTTAACAGCTTGAGAATTTTTGAATTGGGTGAAACAACTATCATCTATCATGTAATTTTGATTGGTCAAAATAATTAACCGTCTCCCTCTAGAATCACTAAAGGATATATGCAAATTAATTAGGTATAAAATAATCATTCAATAAATGTTTTATGAAATGACCTTATTTCAATTGATTTCGGCAAGGTTTTACAAATTCAGTATCCTGCAAATGCTTTGCACCTATACATAATTTTTAGTCGGATTCGTAACACTTTTTATCTATCGTTTCTGTATACCAAACATATACCAAATCAGGAACGCCAATTCAGGGCATTTTTATTTTAATTAGGCTAATTTCTGCTGGATTTAGCCTCATTTGTATTTCTCAATTACATTTAACGAAATCTTGATGTTAGGACAAACGAAGGATTTTAGAGTAGATAAGTTAAGGTGGGTATACTATCTCAAAAATCCTATTCTATAGGGTATCGAATATACATTTTATTCTAATTTTCATAATCTGCATAGATTAACCCGCTGGAAAAGTAGTGTGGGGACACTGTGTGGAAGGCAAATGATTGGTTATTTTGATCAGTGCATGGAATATAAAATTATACAATATATAGCTAACGTTGAAATCCAATCATGTATATCAGTAGTGGAGGCATTTTTTGAGCATCCTGTATATTACGTAAAATTTACTAACATGCATGAGGTTTGACTCGCAAGTGGATTTGAATTATACACGAAAATCAATTGTTCATGTTTTATTTGTTAAACCTCTTAAAACCAGGAACAATTCCCAAGTCCCACATGCACAAAGCTTAAACTGCAAGCTTCCAGCCCAATTCTGCCGTGAATTGAAATAATTATATAATGCATGGAATTCAATGCCCACAATGACAGGCTGCAGCATTTTCATTAAATATTCTATTTGGACAAAGAGACATTGATAATAATAGTATTTGGTATAAAGTATATGAGAAAAATAAACTTAATTTGTGTTGTTCATCTTTTTGGTCAAGGAGAGTTTGAAATATTTATGATGAACAATGTTAACATAGCTACTTATAAGTCCTGATTATTTTAAAAACATGCAATTGCGCGATTAGAGCAGTCTTCATGCATGTTCGTAGGGCCTAGCACGAAAACCAAGTTTATCACTTTTCAAATTCAAATGGAAGTTGTATGTAATTTTGATATTTGAATGCAAAATTTCAGTGGATAAATCATGCAGTCTTACCTTTGCACGAACTCTGGTCATTAGACAATAATTAATTATAAATGTTTAGTATTGTTTACCCATGTGCACCGATGCAATTTTGATATATATATATAAACTTTTGCAATTGAATTATTAATTTTGTTCCATATTTTCCGGCACCGCAATTGTAAACGTCTGCAACGTTAACATGTTGCTATTATGCCATGCAGTTTTGTCGTGAAACGCCAGAAACGGATATTATTAATTTTCAGTTTCATTTGATATGTGTAAAGTATTATAGTCTCTATAATTGAACAAAATCACCTCTCTTCATTTACATAGCTATATATTTTACAAGAGTTTTATTGCATGCGTTATATAACTACTTCAAATTTTAGCTTAATTTTTAATAGTTTGGTCAACTCAAATCCAATTCAAAGACTCTCCAATGCACTCCACTGAGAGGAAAAGATAGTTTTGAGTAAGGGGCGGACAATTAGAAATCCCAGGGGGGGGGGTGAAAATTCCCCAAAAGAAATTCATGCAAAGAAAAATGCCTGGAAAAAAATTCGCGCAGCCATTACGTCAAAGAAAAAATATTCGTGCAAGCAAACAGCAAAGTGCAAATAGTCTTGAAGAAATTCTTGCAGAGGTTAAATGCATAAAAAAATCCTGCAGAGACATGAGACTGAAAAAAAAATCGTGCCGCAAAAATTTTATACCCCTCCTCCCAGGATTTCTAATGGTGCGCCCCTAAGACGGTATTCTTTGTTTGCAATGACGTCATTTTTGGAATTCAGATGTATTGGTCGAGTTTAGAGTCAGTTTAAGACTCAAAAGATGAATTATACCGTTCAATTATTCTTGCTACAACCATTCTCATATAGGAGAAAAATCGTCCACAAGTTGTTTGATTGCCCGTCATTTGGATGAAAAGTCACGTGATTGCAAACAAAGAATATAGTTATATAACCAAAATGTTGAGATTGCCGGATATTTCATTAAGTAGCTATGTTGATCTTTTGTTAAGATTTCATAAGTTGGTTATTAAAAATATATTAGGAAAAAATATTTTTACAAGTTTTGTGATAATTATGTTGACAAAGCTGTCTCGTTAATATGGATTTGAGTTAATTGTGTTGACAAAATTGCCGTATATAAAGATGAAATAATTTGCCATGAAACAAATACGATCTTAGTTTCCTATTGGTGGCACTCACAGAAAACGGAAAATGAATCTATCAATATTCTTCCCATTACTCGTTGCTGTTTTTGCAGGTGGGTTATGTTAAAATTATCTTGTCGGAAAACTGAGAAGATTAGAGAATCTCCTGTACTGGTTAATTCCAGTGTATAGCCTATATAGCGGCAATATAGCGTCCCAATCCTGAAAACTCCTTAGCTCACAAAGAAACTTGTTAGTAATTCACAAGTCGTCACCATCAAAGATTCAGATACTCATGTGTGAAAAACGCTTAGAACTATAGACAGCAACCTTTATTCTCAACCAACTGGGGATTTCAATTAGAGTAATTGAATGCATGCTGTGAATTGAGATATATATCTACCACTGAAATGGAATAATTTGTGCATCTTTTGCCTGGAATCGAAGTATTTTATTAGTTTTCTTGCTGAATTAAGCCGTTCAAGCCCATCATTCATCAAGCAATTGCTCTCAAGCTGTCAATGTTTTAAATGGTCAAGTGCATGCCTGACAGAACAACTATAAGCGTTCACAGCATTCGTGTATATAGTTAAATTATGTGCAACGTACTGTATACGTATAGAGTCAAATTATATAGAAGATCCATCTTACAGGTCTTGGTGAAGCACGCGTTCTCGATGTCTGCCGCTTACCAGCTGACCTAGGTTCCTGTCGTGGCAGCCTCCCACGATATTACTACGATGCTAAGGAGAAAAAATGCAAGAAATTTGCTTATGGGGGCTGTCGTGGTAACACAAACAGGTTCTTGAATGAGGGAGAGTGTAAAAAGGCCTGTGGTAAGTTTTAACTATGTGTTTGCCTGCCTGCAGCCAGTTAATTTACTATTAATAATTCTGAATTGAATTAAATGTATATCATGCATAACAATGAGGTGTATCCTTCTTCAAGGACAATGATTTTATATAGTTATAACAGGAAATGTAGGAGATGAACTGCACAAAAGTCGTTAAACTGCAGGCGCCTCCAGTCTTGTATGTGCTTTCGAAGAAAAGAAATACAATTTTAAATCACTTTTAAATCTGCTCAAAGATCAGTCGATTCATGAGCAGATGTGTTGGACTAAAAATATAGAGTTCTTAATACGTGTACTGAATAGCAAGAATATGGCTATGCCTTTTAAGGTAATTCCGCAGTTTTGCATTGCGCACTTTTACTGCGCACATCGTATAACTTATAATTTCATCCATTATACGTACCGTTTACTGAAAAATCATAATTTTATGACGATTTTATGTTACTTCAAAACATCTTTGGTTACATTCGTGCAAAGAATTACGTTAAAATCAATGTTTTCAAAAAAGGCATACAAACGTGTAGCTAGGGTTCCCTGTGTATGTAGTATATTTATTTACTTGTATTTCACGTTTTGATGCCACAATTCCCTAAAAAGATCGGTGACTCCCGTTTTTTAACTGATAATTTATTTCTTTAATGCATTGTACACTTCATATCCGAAATTGAAAGAAAAATCATTTCTGGATCTTGAAAAAAATCCTTTATCAAAATATGAAAAGAATGTAAAGAAAAATATGTAAAGAAATGTGGAAAAGACATTTATGGATCAGAATTGTACACGTTAGTAGTTTCATTTTGCTCAAAACAGAATATTTTTTCACAAATGATTACAAGATAGATTTACTAAAGCCAAATCCTCGCTAAAAACGTCAATAAAATACCGGGCTGTTGTGCCGGATTTTGCTTTTACTCGTAATGAGCGTCAAGATGGCGCCATATTGGGGTAAAGGTGGTATATTGTGATTGTCATATCTTCTTAACAAGTTCGGTGACCCCGACTTTTTTTGTGCGATTTTACTTTAAGTATATCATAAACTCCATCCCTGGGAAGTTTCAGCAAATTCTCATTTCGGGAACAATTACTGCGGAATTACCTTAATTTATCATTTTGTGATAACAGAAGTGTTAGACTACTACTACAATGTTCCAATACTGACATGGAAAATTTTCTCAACTCTGATTGGCTACGAGCAGTGCAATTTTCGAAATACAGTGCCAACTAAAAATGAAATACAGTGCAAAAATAAAATACAGCGCAAATTTCTTTATTTTCTAAATTTTCTTAATTTTTTATTTTTCAAATTTCTTAATTTTCTTAATTTTTAAATGTGACTTACGCACGTGACAGCATAATTTTTTCATGTATAATATTTTCATATTGATATTAAAGTAATAGTATGGTTTCTCGTGCAATTTGAAAAAAAACATACACTCGTGAGTTTTTCAAAGACTTCAAATTGCACTCGTCCTTCGGATTCGTGTAATTCTGATCGTCTTTGAAAAACTCACTCGTGCATGTTTTTTTCCAAATTGCACTCGAAACCATACTATTACCTATAAAAATATTTAGTACTGGTATGATTGATATTTTAGAGTGTAATAAGGTGTGTACTTTTGACTATAAGCCAGTCTGTGGTTCAGATAGTGTAACGTATCCAAACAAGTGTGGGTTGGAGATTGCCACTTGTAAAAGTGGTGGTGAAATTAGTCTTGCTTATGAAGGGGAATGTCGTAAAAGTGGTAAGTATTTTAATACTTAACAAGCAAAGCAGCTATATATAGCTTGCGCAGAATATAATCGGCTATTGTAGCCTCGTTCGTAGATTTGCTATACAAGTCTATTCGTATTATTTGGCTGCAGGGATAAGCTCAAATTTCTTAAAGTGCGGATTTTAATAGCGTTAAGGGTTGCCCTACATTCGTTTTATCGCTCACTCGTTTTACTCCTTACCGGCAATGCGAGACAAGTTACAATGTTTTACGATGCGAGTCGACCTGTAGTAAGTTTACCTCTTCGTAGTAAGTTTACCTCTTTACCTATTTTCTTATTCCTAACCGATCTACAGAGATGCCTGTGGGAGCGTGCAAGTGTGTGTGTTAATGTGTATGTTAGCCAATCAGCGACAGAAACTATTTGTACTTTACGTCATGTTGTACGTCGTCATATTAGTAGTGAATTAAATTTTAATATCTGTAAGTGTAGCTATATATTCACTGCATGCATGTAATGTCCATTATCAAATCGTTTACCTGGCAATCAATCTGACTGAACTATATATATGATCATAACATTATAACTAAAACCGGAATACTGCATGCATGCATGTAAACCATTTGTTGAGGGTCCTGAAGGGGTAAAATGGGAACTGGGATTGATCTAATTTTAGACTGGGAAAATGGGATTTGGGTTGGTGGGACTGGGATTTGGCCACTGGGAATGGGAAATGAAGTCCTCAAAAATGGGAATGGGATTGAGGTAATGTGAGTCGATTCCCAATTTTTCTACATTTTAAGTGTTTTAAAATACAATTTTGATCCGTTTTCGGTGTCTTTGGTCAATTGGTCATGATTTTTGTTGTTAACTATATTATTCACAGCACTACCTGGGAACAGGCATACTCTGGCGCCCGGAATTCTGGATTTTCTGATTATGCGTGTCTCAGAATGATGCAAATGCCATTTCCGGGATTCAAATTTGAAAATTGCCTTCGGCACAAGCCCCCCCCCCCACCCCCGCGATATTTCATAAAGTGTCCACCTGACCACTTGCACACACGGTGGCTTAAAAGGTCTTAAAACTGTTTATTCTACCGATAAATAAAGGGTTGTTTATTGACTGGGATTTCAATCACTCGGACTGGGATTTCTAATGAAAATCCTACTGGGACCGGGATTTTGCCAAAATTTCAAGTGGGAAATGGGATTGGGACCCCCCTTCAGGACCCTCTTTGTTGTACTTATTTTGCACGATTTTCAACCTTCACTTTCAGTGTTCAAGAGCATTGCAGGCATGATCCATTCAGGCGCAACTGAGAGAGGAAGGCGCGAAACGGGTATTTATTACACTTGCACTCTAAATAATTCTTTTTATTTTATCCCACTGGCCGCCTCCAGTCTTGGCTACCTTAATTATCAGTTTTTGAAATCGGAAAGTATAATCAACCTCATTCCAATAAAACAAAACAATGAGTGATTCCACTTATAGACTAAATTTTGATCAAGGCAAGAAGAACGAAATCCAACACCACAGGTAGAAAGAGCGTCTTAGAATGAGTAGAAGTGCTAAGATTAGTTGCTAAATGTTGTAAAATGAAGAATATAATATAGCCCTGTGAAGTTCGCAAATTTTGTATACAGGAGGATGCCAAAAAATGAGCGCCCCGCCCCTTCTGAAACTAAAATAGACAAATAAATATCAATTCTTATTTTTTATTCGGATAATGACAAGAAAAACACTTTGACTAATTGATCGATCGAACATATCCTTAATACTGTCCATAGGCGTACGAGACAGGGGGGCATGGAAATTCGGGCAAATGCTAGGAAAAATCAAGAAAATTCGGGCAGATTTATCAGAAAATATGTTAAAATCAGGTTATTTCATTACAATTCTCCATAAAAATTCGGGCAAACTTTCAACTGCCCTCTCAGATTGAGAAAACATCAGTCGCGTTTTCCTATGATACTGTCCTAAGCACACAAAAGTTAATAGGCAATAGGATATCCGCGGCTGTTGATAACTTTTCGACAGCGCATTGGCATATGGTATTACTCTCTACAAGATTATGAAGGTAATCGTCGCTGAGATTCTCCCATGTCTACTTCAAACACTCAAACAATTGTTCCTCACTTCGGCTTGTACGTTTATTCAGTTGCCTGTTAAGCTCTGCTCACAAATTTTCCAAGGCGCTGTCGAAAAGTTATCAACAGCCGCGGATATCCTATTTCATGCCTATTAATTATTGTGTTCTTAGATCAAGTCAGAGTGTTTTTCCCGCCATTATCTAATAAAAAATAAGAATTATGATATTTATTTGTCTATTTTAGTTTCGGTAAGGGGGGAGGCCCATTTTTTTGGCAACCCCCTGTATATTTGTATTACGCGCTGGAAAAATAACTATCAATATATTTCGGTTCAGTCAAAAAAATTTTTTCCCGCGCGTATGCAAATAAATAAAAAATTTGCGAACTTCACAGGCCTATATTTTCCTCATTTTACAGAACAATTCGCAACCAAACGTTGCAATGTTACTCATTTTAAGATGTTCTTTCATGCAGCTATGGTAATGGATTTCGCTCTTCTTGTGTAGATCAAAATTTCCTCTATAGCTAGAATCATCCATTTACAGACAAATCAGTCATTTTGCCGAAAAGATTTTTTCAGGGGGGTGTGACACCCACTCCTAGCGACGGCCCAGGTGGAGGCATGTAAGAATAGAAAGACATTTCATGTAGAACAGGGAAAGTGTGAGGAAAATGTGAGACCAAGGGGAGGCCACATAATTTAGACACAATCAGATGGCCCGTTATTTATGCTCACTATAAATGTAATCGCATGTGCATGCAACAGTGTATACAACACAATGATATCTGCCATATAGAGCGTCATGGAACCAGAACACAGGAGTTATACCACAAGGGAAGTGAGCTTTGTATTCATGCGGATTTATATGAACATGAAAGTCTTGAAGTGTACGTTTAACTTATGATTGCTCAGTAATTATATAGTTATATGGAAATTTAGAGTACATTAATTTAAGACTATAAATGAGCCTGCTCAAATTTCATTTTCGAGGCGGTATTCTGGTGTGTCACGTAAAAATACAATGCACATTCAATTTGTGAAAGACTTTCCAATCCAATGCATTTATATATTATTAATAAAATACATTACTTTTTAATCTAGAACAAAAATGTGATAAACCTTGTATTAGGATTTATCTACCGGTCTGTGGTTCTGACGGTCATACATACCCTAACAGCTGTGTAATGAAAGTGGAAGCTTGCCGCAAGAATGAAGATATTTCAGTTGAACATAAAGGAGAATGCAGTAAGTTTGAAATAATTCAAACGCAGTCGATAAAAATGTTTTGCTTAAATATAGTGTGTTTCTTTATCACCCGTGCGGGATATGTACATTAAATAGCAAACACATCTTAAAGATGTGTTTGCTATTTAATGTACAGTACAAGAAGGTCGTGAAAGGGGAGGGGGTCAATATGATTTTCCCAACCAGAGTTTTCTCCACTGAATCGTAGTCACCCGACCATTTGATTTTGACTTTGTAGAAGGTTTTAGAAGGTTCAGATAATAAGTCACTTTTAAAAAAGTTTAGTCGATCAAACAATGTTTATAGCCTATAGCCCCAGCTTGGTCGGCAGCTTGTTAAAAAGCTCGCGAAATGTTAGAAGCCAAAACAAAATAGTTTGTAGAATTGTAGTAGATTCGCTTCTTTAAACAAAGAGGAATTGTTCAAATTGTTGTGGAAGAAAGACTGCGACAGTCAAAAAGGTAACATTCAGAACTACAGTATCTTTGATAGGTATTTATTATATTGTTACTTTAATTTAAATATCGACAGAATCGCAGTCACGCACCGCAGTTACCAGATCCCATTCCCAGCAGCACAATATTGCTGGTGTAAATCCCATTTTCAGGACTCGAAATCAATATCCCATTTTTTCAGTGAAACAACATAGGCAAATCTCAGGTCCCTGCATTTACTAACAAACCTGAGAGCATTTAGTTATAACAATGCTGTTTTTGTTCCATTAATAAAAGGAGATTTTTTGTATGTTACCGTAACACGCGCTCAAAACTAATGCGTATATAATATATCACTTGAAGTTATGACTAAATTCAAAATTTTTATTTTTCGATACGTTTCTCAATCGACAAACAAACTGAAAAACTATGTTTAGTGTTTTATCTGTAAAGTAATGCTAAAATGAAGAGATTCTAGATGATACGCCAAAGAGAAAATGATGTCTGAAGTTCAGTAAGTTTTGCTTATATGCATGGCTGTAAATATGGTGTCAATTTTAAAGCAACATTGATAATTGTATTTTAATTGACAATTTTTAACTATTATTTTATGTTTCTCAACCGGAAGATGCATTTAAAAAGGTAGCTAACTCTATAAGCTAGAGAATAAAGCTAAAAGAAAGTAATTTTGAGAGGAACGCCAAAAAGATTTTAGGTTTTGAGCACTTTTCATTGCAAATACGTGACATTGAAAAAAATTGCCTCTTAAAAATAGTTATACTTGTACTCTAACTATACAGTAGAGAGGTCAGATTTGACTTCCACTACCTCTGAGTCTGACTAGCTTAGTACGCATCTGATTGGTTAATTTGATATATCCAAACGCATATGATTGGTTAATAGTCTCTTAATGGCAGCGGCAGTAGAAGTCAAATCTGAACCTCTCTAATATTGACCACCCTATACTGCGCACCATACACTTCGTAGAATATTTTGGGGAATGGGGGCGGGTATTTCCGCCCCGCCCTTTTTCTCACCCTTGCCGCGCGACGTGTTAGCAATTGCGCCAGGAAAAAATTCCCAGAGTATCAGTAAAATGGAAGGTATAGTGTATAAATTATTCCATGCAAATTTCATGACGCGCCGCACTTTAATGGTTTTCATAGTGGAGAAAATCTATCTATATGTGCCTCAACAAGCAGCAAAATTGTGGAACACGCTGCCATGCCTCTCTAGCCTATTCACTATAAGTATTTTGATTAGTAAAATATACAAAAACGTCGTTATACAAATAAATCTTTTTTATCTAGAAAAAAACTGTGATAAGCCTTGCCTTAGGATTTATCAACCGGTATGTGGTTCTGACGGTCATACATACCCTAACAGCTGTGTAATGAAAGTGGAAGCTTGCCGCAAGAATGAAGATATTTCAGTTGAACATAAAGGAGAATGCAGTAAGTTTGAAATAATTCAAACGCAGTCGATAAAAATGTTTTGCCTAAATATAGTGTGTTTCTTTATCACCCGTGCGGGATAAGATGTGTTTGCTATTTAACGTACAGTACAAGAAGGTCGTGAAAGGGGAGGGGGTCAATATGATTTTCCCAACCAGAGTTTTCTCCACTGAATCGTAGTCACCCGACCATTTGATTTTGACTTTGTAGAGGGTTTTAGAAGGTTCAGATAATAAGTCACTTTTAAAAAAGTGACAGCAAGTTTAGTCGATCAAACAATGTTTATAGCCTATAGCCCCAGCTTGGTCGGCAGCTTGTTAAAAAGCTCGCGAAATGTTAGAAGCCAAAACAAAATAGTTTGTAGAATTGTAGCCGAGATTCGCTTCTTTAAACAAAGAGGAATTGTTCAAATTGTTGTGGAAGAAAGACTGCGACAGTCAAAAAGGTCACATTCAGAACTACAGTATCAGGCTTTGATAGGTATTTATTATATTCTTACTTTAAATATCGACAGAATCGCAGTCACGCACCGCAGTTACCAGATCCCCTTCCCAGCAGCACGATATTGCTGGTGTAAATCCCATTTTCAGGAGTCGAAATCAATATCCCATTTTTTCAGTGAAAAAACATAGGCAAATCTCAGGTCCCTGCATTTACTAACAAACCTGAGAGCATTTAGTTATAACAATGCTGTTTTTGTTCCATTAATAAAAGGAGATTTTTTGTATGTTACGTAACACGCGCTCAAAACTAATGCGTATATAATATATCACTTGAAGTTATGACTAAATTCAAAATTTTTATTTTTCGATACGTTTCTCAATCGGCAAACAAACTGAAAAAGTATGTTTAGTGTTTTATCTATAAAGTAATGCTAAAATGAAGAGATTTTAGATGATACGCCAAAGAGAAAATGATGTCTGAAGTTCAGTAAGTTTTGCTTATATGCATGGCTGTAAATATGGCGTCAATTTTAAAGCAACATTGATAATTGTATTTTAATTGACAATTTTTAACTATTATTTTATGTTTCTCAACCGGAAGATGCATTTAAAAAGGTAGCTAACTCTATAAGCTAGAGAATAAAGCTAAAAGAAAGTAATTTTGAGACGAATGCCAAAAAGATTTTAGGTTTTGAGCACTTTTCATTGCAAATACGTGACATTGAAAAAAAATTGCCTCTTAAAAATAGTTATACTTGTACTCTAACTATACAGTAGAGAGGTCAGATTTCACTTCCACTACCTCTGAGTCTGACTAGCTTAGTACGCATCTGATTGGTTAATTTGATATATCCAAACGCATATGATTGGTTAATAGTCTCTTAATGGTAGCGGCAGTAGAAGTCAAATCTGAACCTCTCTAATATTGACCACCCTATACTGCGCATCATACACTTCGTACCATATTTTGGGGAATGGGGGCGGGTATTTCCGCCCCGCCCTTTTTCTCACCCTTGCCGCGCGACGTGTTAGCAATTGCGCCAGGAAAAAATTCCCAGAGTATCAGTAAAATGGAAGGTATAGTGTATAAATTATTCCATGCATGCAAATTTCATGACGCGCACTTTACTCTCTAGCCTATTCACTATTTTGATTAGTAAAATATACAAAAACGTCGTTATACAAATAAACGGTCATACATACACTAACGTTTGTGTAATGAAAGTGGAAGAATGCCACAAGAATGAAATTATTTCAGTTGAACATGAAGGAGAATGTGGTTGAACATTGTTGTATAGCTAGCGTGAACACCAAACGTGATTGGGTGATTTGCCGGTCACGTGGTTTTAGATAAGTGCAATGTATCCCGCCAGGCAACAAGCGAACTGAAAAGTTGTTGCCGTCCAGACTGGCCACGTACATAAATAAACAAGATGGCGGCACAACTCGCAAGTCTATAAACTTCGATTTTCAAAGTTTGTGTTAAAATAAATAATGTAAAAGAGAAAAAATACACAACAGGCAACAGGATATATTCTTTTAATTTTAAATTCGTTTACACTATTGGGTTTCTGTCATGAAATACAATTGTTGTACGAATGTTATTGATTTTTCTTTCGTAGCTACACAGGATGTATAAAAATCGAGTCGTATAGAAATCAAGCTATTGTTGTAAAGGCCGTTTTCCACTAGGCGGAATTTTCCGCGCGTAGCGAATGTTTGTCTTGTGATTTCTCGGGTGGAACTATAATTAGAAAAGACAAAGAGAAATTCCGCTCCAAGCGGAAAATTCCGCCTAGTGGAAAACGGCCATAAAGCCGGTTTTCCACTAGGCGGAATTTTGCGCGCGGAGCGGAATTTCTCTTTGTCTTTTCTAATTAGTTCCACCCGAGAAATCACAAGACAAAGAAAAATTCTTCTCCGCGCGCAAAATTCCGCCTAGTGGAAAACCAGCTTAAGCCGGTTTTCCATTAGGCGGAATTTTGCGCGCGGAGCGGAATTTTTCTTTGTCTTGTGATTTCTCGGGTGGAACTAATTAGAAAAGACAAAGAGAAATTCCGCTCCGCGCGGAAAATTCCACCTAGTGGAAATTGGCCTTAAAACTTAAAGCGCAAGATTTTATGCGTCTGGCCAGGATTTAAAATAGCTTCTAATCGTATGAAGGAGCATAACTATACATAAACCGTAACTGACTAACCACAAATTACTAATTTGTGGTTATAGTCATATCATCAGTTCAAATAAAACTTGTTCAACTGACCACAGAGCAACGATCTTTCACTGTTTTACGCGTATTTAATTAATCAGCACATAATTCATATGTTGAACGAATGGCCCGACGAAACCAAGTTTTATAAGTTGGTCATGCACAAAATTCTGTCACTTATATTCTTTTTTACGCACCTGTAGATTCAGCATAGTGCAATATGCAATCAAATTACACTTTTTATATATCCTGAAAAACAAAACATGCACTTAATGTCTGTTCTCTCAGGAAATAGCTATTTTCGTTTCCCCCTGAATCTCTATTTTTCTCTTGGTACTACTTATAATTCAATTGCATTTCCGGCATATCACCTATGCGGGTGAGCGAATTTAATACACAAGAGGGTGGCAAGGGGGTGTCGTGAAGGGAGTGGGTGTCGTGATCGTGAGGGGGTCAATCTGATTTTCCCAACCACAGTCACTCGACCAACTACTGGATGGAGAACACAATGCGATATTACTGCAAGGTTATTATTAACGACGCCAAAAATCACTTCACTCAAATTAAATCATAGCTATATACAGTAAGCTTTAAAGCCAAGATTGCTAGCCATCATCAACTCCCTGCAAGCAATGGCATGAATAGCCAAGATCTGTTTCTGACCATCCCTAGCTGGCGCAAGATAGAATTTATTATCCGCTATGTTTCAGGATAGGCTTAAGTTTGAATTTTCTTCTTGGAAGTTGTTATTTGTCCAGTCAGGGAATCCAACGAGCTTTGGCTAGTTGTCACTTGTCAGTGAATTAATTTAATTAGTTCATTAAATGCTTTTGTGAAATCGCTTGTAGTAAAATTTACGTCTGTTTTGAAGTGCCCATTCCCAAAGCGACAGAAATTAAATCTACTTCAATATCTTAAATATTTAGATTATTTATAGCTTCACAATACAAATAACAATGCCAGCAAGCTGACAGAACGAAGAAATGAACCAATCAAATTAATTGTAAATTGATGGACAAATAACCAAAGTTCGTTGGTTTCCGTGACCGGACAAATAATCAAATAATTTTTGTACAACGATATGATTTTGTTCACATTTGTGCATTCATTTCGTCGTTGTGACACCTGCAGTACAGGACAGTGAAGTTTTTAAGCAATGCATGGCAGCCATATTTGCCATCCTCATCAATGTAGTTCTTTGTTAACCGACTACTTTTGTGGGCAATGATAATTCAACCTCGTACCCAGGGCCTGCCCGCCCGATTAATTCGCGGCTAGCCCTGGGTACGAGGTTGATGATAATTTTCCCTAAAAACGGTTATCTTTTCATGTGACGCAATCAAAGACGTGACTGCGTGACATGAAAATGTAACCCAACTAATTGCATGTCTATTAATCATTTTGGCTTTACATTGAACAGATGCGAAATTCGGCACGAATTAACCCATCCTTTCCCTCCCCCTAACCAACCCAGATTCAACTATGGGACAAACACTATGAAGGTGATGTTTTTGATATTTTCACCTTTTTTATAAAACACGCATATTTCTTTCATTTTTATATAGATGATGAAAAGCCACAGAATAAGTAAGATAAACATTCAAGAAAAACATCGCAAATTAATTTTGTTGGCATAACTTACTAGCTTATGTAGTTGTTGTACCTGTTTATTAAAACAGAAATTTACTTGCATCATTTTGTTTCTGTTGCTTGGTTTGTTGATATTAACAGAATAGCTAATGATTCTTACTGGAAATATTGCTCTGAATTAAAGGACTGTCTTAAGGCGGATTTCCAGTCCTCGCACGAAGCTCCTCGCAGCTCGCTGCGAGTGATGCATGAGCACTTTCATCCAATCACAATGCCCAACAGTTCATTTTAATTAGATGCAAGCACTCGCAGCGAGTTGCAAGGAGCTTCGTGCGAGCTAGGACTGGAAAACCGCCTTTATGTTGTTTACCGTAACCGGAGAAAACATGCATGCATGCGCATCAAAATTATAATCAAATAACTGAATAATGCAGTAATCACAGAGTATATAGAAAGACACATCCAAAAACTGTTGCGCCACCAACTTCTTATCGTGGTCTGGGCCGTAGTTAGTTAAAGCTATCTACATGACCTCTTTCTGAATGCGCCTATCACTGTACAAAGAGATCGCATAGTTAATAAGACCATGATCCAAGACCATGCACTTCGTTTTTCCATTCTCCTCCACAGAGGCATTTAAATGCTTTTGTGAAATCTTTTGTAGTAAAATTTATGTCTGTTTTCAAGCGCCCATGCATTCCCAAAGTGACAGAAATTAAATCGACTTCAATATCTTAAATATTTAGATTATTATATGGCTTCAAAATACAAATAACAGTATTAAAATATATATTTTAATTCAAATCGATACAAAATTATTATTTTCGCGTAAAAAATTATGTTCATTTGTGTGGTTATTAAGAGTTTGTGTTCTTATATTCCTTTTGTTAATTGACCAAGCCATTTTTAGATTATAATCATATAGGTATAATTGAAAACGTTTTGTTGTAAAATCCACTCAACAAAAGGATTAATTTAATTAGTCTTAGCTACTTGCATGCATTGTCATAGTAATCACATGACAAATACGATTATATATAAGCACTTTAGTTTTTGTGAGGATTAATCAATCTTAAAAATGAAAAGGTACACAAAGTGAGGCGTCTTATGTATGGGGGTGGTGAGGTTAAACTGTTTATAAACCCATATCTGAGACTGAGAGGCAATGCCAACGGAAAGAATATTTAAGGTGGCTCAATACAGTTTTTAAAAAAATGGAAAATTCACGATTTAGATGCGTATTTTTGGACAATTATTACTTGTTCATAAACAAAAAGTACCTTACTTATATAAAACAACATCTAAAGAGTTTGAATTTTTGCACAAACGTTACGCAACTGCCGTTGCTATGGCAACAATGACGTTTCAAGATGGCGGATATTTTGAATTTAAAGTAATTTAACTCGCATAAACGACATCGGTGACCCCCAAATTTTATTTAAAAAAATGATTTCTCTTAGTATAATAAATTATTTTGAAAATTCTGTGGAGCCAAAAATTTTTAAAATTACGTAAAGGTGATTATTCATAATAATTTTTTTTGGCACCACAGAATTTTTTTTGAATTGTCAAAATAACTGATTATACTAAGAGAAAGAATTTTTTAAAATAAAATTTGGGGGTCACTGATGTCGTTTACGAGTTAAATTACTTTAAAGCCAAAATATCCGCCATCTTGAAAGTCATTGTTGCCATAGCAACGGCAGTTGCGTAACTTTTGTACAAAAACTCTTTAGATGTTGTTTTATATAAGTAAGATACTTTTTGTTTATCAACAAGTAATAATTGTCCAAAAATAGGCATCTAAATCTAGTCTTGAATTTTCCATTTTTTAAATAACTGTGTTGAGCTACCTTAAATAATATTTATAATTCTAGTTGTATATAGGCTAATGGCGTAATGCAAAGCGTGAAGAGAAACTTCCATATTTTTCCCATGCTGGAATCAGCTGGCAACAAGTTAACGAATTAATTATTGTCACTGTCACCAACATTAATTCGAGATTCTCTAACACGCAAAACGATGGATCCGAATGAGTTTATCAAGTTATCCCTGTCGGATGAGGGATCTGTTCCTTCTATATACTAATACAGAAAAACACCATTTACATAAGATTTGAATTTCGTCTGACAAATAGCAATCAACTGAATATGTTGTATAAAATAATGATACTCATAAACTGATCATATATCCTATAGCCAGTACCGATGGCAACTTATTAATTATATATTAACAATTTTAAATTTGGGTAGCATTGAATGTGAAATGATTCTTTTTCGCTCAAGCATCAAGTTTCTTCAATTTATAGTAAGACGTCCTACTTCATATATTAACTATAGTTTAGTTTCAATGCACTGTTGCCATTTTATGGGTATCGCCCATTCCACATGCAGGAGATAAAAGCAGACTGATTATTTAGACTGGAAGGATAACTCAATCTGTCCTAGACCCTGTTAATATTCAGGTATATAAATACAACAAGAATTATAAGATGCATGATTCTAGCTTTATTAGCTAGTGTACACTCAATAATCATGGTCTATTACAAATCTAGCATTCTGATTCAACTATGGACCATTTATCATTCAGAAAAAAGATAGCGGAAAACTTTTGTTTTGCAAAGGTCTTTCCTTGATGAACCAAAAGGACTACAAAATATATGGCTGAAGACTTTTAATTAATGGCATCATTTAACCATATTCTCCTTGCCTTTCAAGTGTTTTCCTGTTTTCAACATGATTTCATGTTCACAAATATAGCAGCAACATCAGATAAGATTTCCTAAGCTTTCGCCTTTCGTTGACTCTTCGCTTATAGAGAACTGCATGGTTGAATTATTGTTAAATGGATATATGTGTTATTCCAGGAGGACACCGGACGACCTAGACAAAACCCGGTGGCATTTGATTTGGCAGAGTGGAATTGGAAGCTGCATACTACACTCTTTTCCCATGTGACTGAGGACAGATCGTGTGTTACTGAAATTGAACCTCGGTAACAAAGGTAAAAAGTATATATACATGTACTGTAACCGTGTTAAAACAAACAACTTGCCTAAAGTTTAGAGATTAGCCGGTACCTTGTGTATATACAGGGTGTCCAAAAAAAAGTCCCCCTATAGAAATAACTCTTTTGTTGTTTTTGTTGTTAAACGTGCGTTGTTATACTCTAGATCTGGGAATTTAAAATAGCTTCCAAATCGAACAGCAATACAGAAATGTCAAATTACAAATTCCTCTTACCGTCAGTTCGAGTAAGAATGGGTCAACTGGCTACAGAGCAACGAGTATTTTTCGTAACAACTCGTACGTTAACGCAAAGTGTAACTGAAGTGTTAAATTATTTGGACGAAGGGATGTTGTAAATACTTCCGCCGTTCATGTACAATTAAATTAAATTCCCAACGGTATAACAACGCACAAGAGTGATGTCTAAAGGGGGACTTTTTTTGTAGGACACCCCGTATAAAGTATCCACGTATCTTAATTAAGTAAAAAGAATGTAAAAATGTATTTAGCCTCCCATCTCTATCGAACCCCCCGTTTCCAATTAGCCCCCCAGTCCAGAACTATATACTGGAAAAAATAAGCCCCTGGGGTGCTAAACAGCTAATGCATGACCAATGTTGTGGTATACTCGCACGCAGATTTGATTTATTACTTATTTATTACTTTATAAAATAATCCTGTTTGGGCAGTGCTTTGATCGTTCTGATTTATTGCTTGACAAATGGATGAATCCCAGAGCATCTCTGATTTATTGCTTGACAAATGGATGAATCCCAGAGCATCATATACTGTAGACCGCAGGCGCCACTAAAATCAGTCTCATGCATGGGCATGATAGTAGCCTATCTCTATAAATAAAGACAGTCTAAAAGGTAGTTGTAAATCATAAATGACATGGTGCTGCAAATCATAAATCAACTAAAAAATATTTAGAAGATCACTAGTCTTATTCAGACACTTCCCGAATTTACTCGAGTGCGCATGAGCTTGAAATCGACATGGACAATGTAGCCCATTGTAAGTAATTTTCATCACAATTAAGTCAGCGAATTCAGAAAGTGCCTAATTGGAAGAATTTAGCTTCATTAAAATGTAGAACACTAGGGGTTAACATTTTGGGGCAATTTTCCTTGCAAGTTTTTAAAATTTATCACGGCGAAAAGAACTGCATCCGGCGAAGTATTCATGTGCATGAAATGGTAATGCATGCCTGCATGGCATAGCTTTAATGCACCTAAGAAAATGTTTGCATTGAACCGCAGGAATATTGATTGCAAGAAAGCACCACTAAATTTAGTTTAGATCTTATCTTGGTTGCATTGAGCTGGTGTACACTGTATACCTTGCACGAATTACAATAAGCTAAAGTATATGTATGTGCATGTGTGTTGTTACAGTTGAGTTCCTAATTTTCCTAATTAGCTTTGCATTTTTGGAAAACTCTTAGTTTGCAAATAGTTTGAGGCTGTGGGAATGGTCGAGTGAAGCTAACTTGGTCATCAAGACCAAAGTCGTGATGCTGTCCACCGCACAATGGACCTTTCCCCTTATAACTAAAATTTCGATCTAGACAAAAATTTCATTACAGCTTGAAAGAGCATCACAAAATTAGTAATATTCCAAAGTTTTGTTGCAAAATCTTGTAAAATGCGGAAAATATAGCCTTGCGAAGTTTCCCGTTTTTCAGTCATTTTGTATTACAAACGGGAAATTGACATACGATTCGGGTGTTGGGGCTGCAATTTCCCGTTTGTAATACAAAATGACTGAAAATTGCAAACTTCGCAAGGCTCTATATTCCTCATTTTACAACATTTCGCAACGAAACTTTGGAATATCACTAATTTTGTGATGCTCTTTCAAGCTGTGATGAAATATTTTTCTAGACTTGCCTAGATCAAAATTTTGGTTATAAGGGGAAAGGTCTAATAACGGCACACCCGTAGAGCGAGTTAACTCCACAAATATTAGGGTCATCCTGTTACTCCTGGCGGCACTATATATAAGGAAACTATATGAATAGTTTACCATTTAACATTCGTAAGAACTTGATGCAGGCACTTGTTTTATCAAAACTGTACCATGACGACGTAATTCAAGTTCCTCAATTTAAGAACACCTGTAGAAATTAGGAACTGTAGATACTACCGAGTATTTTGTAAAGAGGCCAAGAATTTCTTAGTCTTGAAAGCATGGTACATATAATGTAATTGTATATTTTGGTAAGCGTCACTCTGTAGATGTATTGCCAATAAATCGTTATTATTATAAATTATTATTATTATTATTATATTATAATTCATTCCAAAATCTGACCTAAACCTCTAAACAATGACCTTGTGCCGATTTACTGCAAAAAGAACAAGATCAATTACATTGTAGCGTAAAGGAAACTTTTCAGTGATATTCAAACTGAATTACATGCATTAGATGCAAAATTATATATGCTTTGTGTTTTTGTGGATCGTTTTTGAAAACTATGAGAATTGATCAAAAGGGGGCTCAAGGTTATAAATTTTCTAAAAATTGATATATAGTCACAGTATAGTCTCAGGTTTGACGCAATCAAAACAAAGTTGTATATAGAAGAAACTGTAAATGACGAAGAAGATGAAAACAAGGAGAAGCCAAGTTACAGCAATAGAGTAAAGGGTATAGCCTAGCTCCTTCGCATGCATGCAATTTTTTTAAAGAGCAAGAAAGTGGTAACACGAGGAATTGATAAATGAAAAAATTAAAACTCAACGTCGAACGATAACGCTTCTCGGCATTACCTCGTAGCTCATGCATAATTAGCCTTTCTCACGAAGGCCAAAATCCGCCATTTTTGGGCTAGTGTCTGCCTTCGTGAAAGATTCTAGACAATTCAAACAACGTGAAAAGCAACTTTTAAAAGTTGTAACTGTAAATTTACCATTATACTAACAACTACAATACTGAAAAGTTGTATTTTGTGGTGCGGAGACTCTCAAATTAATTTAAATGTGGGAAAGACAGTACCCCAAGACAGTACTATAAGAACATTATATAGGCCTGAATTATATTGGAAAGTGAACAAACACAAAAAGTAAACAAATCATGCGAATGTTTACAAACTATTGTTCTTATATAAGACCTTATAATTCTCTACAGCTAAAACACACTGCTCAAACGATATTAATTAACATATACAACTGCCCACGTCTATATAGGATTAAAAAGATCCGAAAGATGAAGAGAAAAATTATTTCCATATTATAATTGAATAAATAGATGTACGATCATTAACTCAATCTCCTCAACTATTGTTTAAAGCTAATTGGATAAGGTTATATGTAGTAGCTATGTTTATTTATAGAAATAAAAAGAGGATTTATTTTTTTCAGTTAATTGGAGAGTCGTAAATCATTCTTGCTGTAACCAATATTATTCAATTATATTCATGCATTCGCTGATTTTAAAGCCATCCGCAAGAACCTAAATCCAGCCTCAACTTATATTATACATGCAAAATACAGATACACAATCTATGATATGAGCCATTTATAATTCAATAAACGAAACGATAATTTAAAAAAACGGTAATCTTAAAGGTAATCCAACTTTGGTATGTTATAGTGTGTTTTAGGTCAGATTAAGTTTATAGATTTACTTTTTCATACTAATGAAGATCAGGCTATAGACCCCTTTACTATTACTAATCGTTTCTTTTCAGAAACGTTACATTTCATTTCAATTTCAACGAACCTATTTCGAGCGTCTTTCTTTTAATTACGCAAATTTTTGAAATTTTAACAAAATTTAGACTGAATCTTCAGTGCTAACTATATACCGACCCAAAATGAATAATATTCATCTTGCTCATTACAATAAGTATAATCATTTATTGCATGTTTGTGATTCGTTCTTAAGCCTTTATAGTTGTGTTTCATTGTTATAACTGCAGTCCCAAAACCTGTTCACATAGGTTGTGGCGGCCCATATGGGTGTGAGGTTTTAAGCCTCTCAGTTTCCATTCATTGCAAGTTCAACTGTTTTCTTTCAATCACAATGCTAGACACTTTACTTTAATAAGATGCAACAAATTGCATGCAGCGAGCATGCCAGTTGATTCAGTAAGATGAGTGGATATTCGCATCCCATGCAAAAAATGACACATGTGATTTCACATGTGAAATGGAAACTTCATGCATGTAAAAATAATATTTCAAATGTGAAATTGACTATGAAGTTTTGATATGTCAGGAAACCATGGTGAAACCGAGTCATACAGTATATGAGAAATGCTGACAATGACAAACTGAAGGCATTGAATCAGGTAAAATTGCTTGGAATCACATTTGATAAAAAAACCTTACATGACCCTAATTATCAACGCCTGCATGTAATATAATTAGATCTAGATTTCATGTGCACATTAAACGAATATGAGATTTTCTATATGGCGAAGCATTCAAAATGATCATGCATGTGTGAGATTATTACTGGTAAGTCACAGATGAAAAGTTCAATGCACTTTGCAAAAACAAATTTCGTTTTGTTTTGCTTGGATAAGGCTCATGCATTCGAGGATAAGATATCTGTATCGTTTTGCTTTGCATTGGATAAGACTTAACCTTTCATTATTCAATTTTCTTTTGCATATATTATAGTGGAATCAAAGACATCCGCTCAGTAAATATTACACAACCAACGTTAGTGAACAATATACAATTAATAATATCTCAAATTCATGAATATGAATGATCGGTGAACAAAGGAAACGAGTAGAATTTCGTCAACTTTAAACTTAATTTTTTTAAAAATACTGATTCATTTGTGAACTTGGGATGTCATAACAAAACCTCCAATTCTTTGTTTGCAATGACGTTATTTTGGGATTTCAGTTGACGGGCAGGTATAACAAAAAATGGCTATTTTAATGCATTGATCGAGTTTAGCGACAGTTTAAGACTCAAAAGACGAATTACCGTTCAGTTTTTCTTGCTACAACCATTCTGATATAGGAGAAACATCGTCCACAAGTTGTTTGATTGCCCGTCATTTGGATGAAAAGTCACGTGATTGCAAACAAAGAATTCCGACTTTACCAGATACTCAGTCAATAGTTCAGTCCTCATATACAGTCAAATTTGATATATTACATGAAATCAAACATAGACGAACGCCATCATAATTGCACAACAAACATAATTGTCCATTATCGTGAAAATAAACAGTCTTAGTAATTAATCCATTTCATATTTTGGATGACAAAAATGTCAATGTGGTGATAAATGTTTTGCGTCAGAGCACTCACTACAAGTCTTATAAAAGCAGGTTGTTTTGGCTAATACAGTCAGTCTAAAGCAGTCAAGAATTCAGCAGAAGAAGAATTCCAGATAAACTACATAACGAAATCTATATACTAAAAGCAAGATGAACGCTTGTTTGATATTCATTTTGATAGTGCAAAGTTTGTTCGGTGAGTTTTCCACTAGTTATATGGACGCTATTATTTTGTGTTAAAATGTAATGTCTTAATCTATTTAGTCATGCACATATTTCCATTGCAGCGAAGGTTATAGATATACTCCATCCAGTTCTATTTAATTAATTCGAATCACACGCACTTTTGAGACTTGAGTGCATGAGTGAGTCAAGGACTAAAGGGCATGCATGCATGCGATTCACAGCTGCATGTATAGACAGTAAATTAAAACTTCTGCATGAAAAAGCCTATATCTTACAGATTAATTCATATTTTAAGTTAATTCAAATCCCCAACGACAAAGTAAAATGTCTTCAACATCTTAAGGATTATATACTTGCCTATAGCACCAGCAACGGTATATCGGACAAACACACTAGTCTGGAAAACTACCTACTATATACTCGATGTTTCTGTTTTACTCCAGAATACAATAAAGTTTCATTGTTTGCAGGAATTTGCACTGGACTTTCAATGTCGAATAGGTACTACAGTTTTCGATTTGCCCATGATTTATAATTATCTAGTTTGATTCTAATTTTAAATTACCTCTCAATTTTCTCACAAAACCTAAATCACGCTATATTACTGTACGTCTATAGTATAGGTTTATTACTCACGATCTGTTCATGTGATCTACAGTAGCTTGCATGCAGGTGCCCAGGGCGAAACTTTCCTAAGGGGCCATATCAGATGACATAATTGCAGCAGACGCGGAGAAGCGGTGTTTTACACAATGTTACCACTAAAAATCCATATGAGCAGGTGGTATATAGTCGAGAGGTGGTATATAGGCAAGACGTCTCGACAGACATGCCAAAAGGGGGGGCAGGGAAGAATTTTACTCCGTGCCAATTAAGGCCATTAAAATTTCTTGATACAGGATGGCCAAACTGAGAATATAAATCCTAGCTGCGTTAGTCCCGGATAATATGAAATAAAGCGTAACATGCTTGCAAAACATTCATTTCAATCACGCAACACAGATATTTAAGTGAACGACTTTTGGTATTTTTCCCGATATTTTTTTCAAGAAAAGTTATACTTTGGCAATGTATTTAATACTTGTTTATTTAAAGTACGATTACCACGAGGCCCTATATAGCCGCGAGATCATTGATATATGAGCGAGGTAATTCGGTAAGCATGGCCTTCGATTCTTTTGAGGTTAATTAATTAGAAAAACATCAGCTAGGGCCTAGGCTAATTGATAGCTGCGAAATATGAGTAATAAAATATAATAATTCGATTTTTCAGCATCAAGCAGTACGTCAACAATTCTTCAACCAAAACATTGCTCATTGAAGAAAGTGACTGGACCTTGCCGAGCATACATGCCAATGTATTATTACAATCAAAGTCAAGGGAAATGCATTCAGTTCATTTATGGTGGTTGTGGCGGGAATGCAAACAGGTTTAACACCCTTGAAGACTGCGAAAAACAATGTGACCGAGGTAAAGTATTTTTTGGCAACATTATTTTTATTTTATGATGTGAATTTATATTGAGAGCAAGACTTGCGTGTAGTTAAGATAATTACATAACATTTTAAATATACAATTTTGGTCCCCATGTATATACTTTTTCACATGCAACTCAATTTTTTGTTCCGAGTTCAAATTTAGAAAACTACATACACGCGCGAGTGTGCTTTTCAAGGGACGGGTACTGTATTTTTGCGAACTAATTTTACCATTCTCTAACTATTGCCAAGACAATCAGAATTGTTTATTTTAAAAGTGTATATAGATAAGGACGGATTGCGATACAACTATTGAAAAGTACAAGCAGAACTTTTAGAGCGAATGCCCGTCGTCGGCATATTCCGTGATATTCCGAGTTTTCACAACGCCTCTAAAAAGAACTCTTTTGGATCACGGTCAAGATATCGTAAAAAGCTGCCCGCTCCTGCAGCCAATCAGATTGCAGGAAATCAAAAATATCACTAGGTATGCACAAATAAAAAATAATAGATATTTTGTTTATTCCGTTTTCATTAGAAAAAACCTGTGTACGACCTTGCCCCCTCATATACAGGCCAATATGTGGATCAGATGGGAAAACATACTCCAGTAACTGTGAGTTTGAAGTGGCGGATTGTTTGAGTAATGGAAGAATCAAGAAAGTTCACGATGGAGCATGCAGTGAGTAAAAAGCACTATTACAATTAGTATCTCTTCATTTTATATGCATTGTTTTAATTACACTGGCTCAAATAGGATTTTTTCCAAGAGGTGAAGGACAACATCATCCAGTCCCAAATAAATAAAAGATAACTATTATCCAGATCCCACCAGTGACTATTAAACGGTCAACACTTTGGTTAGTAAAAGGAAAATAAAAAGTGCTGATTACCTTTTTGTTCTTTTAAGGTGTATGTTCCCTTGACAAAGATCCAGGTTTCTGCAGGGGTTACTTCCCACGATATTTTTACAGCTCCAAGTCGCAAGCTTGTGAAAAGTTCATATATGGTGGCTGTCAAGGAAACCAAAACAACTTTGTAACTCTTCAGGCCTGTCAAGATAAATGCCTATGACTTGGTATGATGAAATATTAATTTGTTTCACTGGCCAGACCTTTTTCATCATTGTCCAGCCATGCATCGTCGGTATTATGCTTTGAAATGGAAACACGAGCTGGTCATTACTTTAAAATATCATATGTTGCAAAATTTCAAGGCAAATTTCTAGGAATTAATACTAGTCGAATACGAGCATTAATTTTTTAGCGATACCCAGCAAGCCTTTCGCGCTCGTATTCGATTTTTCCGCTTTGCTCGGGGACAACCTTAATTGAAATAGCTGTATACTGCGGGTTAATTTAACTTCCAGTATTATTTTGCAAGTACATCTTCTAGGATATGCTCCTTTTCACATTGTATAATCATAGGGCCGCGGTTTAAATCTTGACTGTCGTCAATTAAATGAATTTTTTTTTTAAATTTTAGGGCATTGCTGAGAACCACATTATATGTTTCCAAACAGGAAGCAAGAAAACGCATATGATTTATATTATGATTAGTGTGATAGTGCAGTAAATGATTTTCTTATATGACTGTAGTGTATTACTGTACATGGTTTTCGATGCAGTTTGTACTGTAGTACTGTAATATTCTTGTTTGTGTTAATCACTCAATTTACGAATAAATATTTGAATCACCATTAGTTGTTGTCTTTTAAAGCACGAATTGTAGTAATATCTGTCTTCTAAAGCACGAATTGTAGTAATATCTCAACCGTGAGTCGCTCTGTCTACAGTAGCTCGATCCGATTCAGTTCATACTGTATGTGTTGCAACTGCGGCAGAATGGTTTATCGTATACGTTTCCACCCGATAGATACAGTAGGACTTTCAGATAGATATTTTCTTCTAAATAATCCCTGTTGTATTAATCACTCTGGAGTCCGGTCTAGTTACTACTTTACAATGCGCTGCTGCATGTGGTTTATGTCTGAACTACCTGACTAACCTGAGAAAGATTTCTTAAACGAATGGTCTAGTGTAGCTACTATTCTGCAAAAACTGTGTTGTCATGGTAAAATGCCACAAATATAAAATGCTACACAAATATAAAACACACGATAACTAATGTTTCCTTAACGTTAAATACAGCAGACCATAAAATGACACAAACAAAACATGCAATAAATACAAATAACTTACAACTTGTTTTGTTATTACACCATATAAGACACTAACTGTCAATAACGTTCAATAAACAATACGTGCATTATGTAAAGACAAAGTCAATGATATATACTGTAACATTTATAACATGCCATCAGCAACACACTGGATACAACGTATCTATATACGAAAATAAAGGACAACAAATAAATAAGAATGTCTTAAAAACAAACACACACACACACATACATATCTTACGCACACATCCAAATATAAACCCAGACTGACAAATTCACAGACAGACAATAACTAATATGCAAATAAACAAAAAGAAAATCACAAATAAACAGACAAACAAACAAGCTCATGCACACATTCAAAACTAGAACCCCCCAAGGGTATAACAAGGGTAATTAAGGTATATTGGTGAAATATTGATTGATATAACAAACTCACCAAACATTCAGCTCTTAGGTACTTCGTTATGTTTTAGTAAGGACGATTTGCGTCTTTTGGTCGTTTCTGTTGAACCTTGAGTCTTTTATCTCCAATCTGAAAACCATTCATTGCTTGTATGGCCATTGCTGCTGAGGTAGGACTGTCGTAACTCACAAAACCTGCAACGTTAATGTAGGGTTATTGTGATGATGGTTGTGCTGTGATAATATGGGTACGGTACGTTTATACCAGGTACTGTACAGGTCGCAATTACTACGATTTGGTTACACCTAGTTATAAGTACACAGTAATCTCACTGTATACCTACATACATTTTGTTAGTACAATATGGACCAGGTAACCTTTTGACATATTCAAAACCGTAATTAAGTACTGTATGTACATGTATATTCGTACATTTTATGAGGCCCAGAAATGATTTTATTGGCAGAGAAATGTTAGACACACAATATCATTACTATTCATATCTACTGATGGCAACAACAACGATGATGATGATGATGATTGTAATGAAGATGGTGATGATAGTGGTGTTGATAGTGATGATCATGATGAGATTGATAATGATATCAATGCTGTAGTGGTGGTGACAATGATGGTGATATAAGCAATATTGTAATACATTATACTAAACTCACCAAAACATTTGCTCATGCCAGATACTTTATCAATGAAGACTTTAGCACTGACAACTGTTCCAAATGGACTGAATGTCGCAAACAGATCAGCATCTTGAAATTCTTTGGGTAGATGGTAGATAAACAGATTTGCACCTTCAGGACCTGAAGAGAATTTGAAACAAAACAAGACAATGGCATGTTTAATTAATAAAGCAAATATACAGTATTAATATTACTGTGATAAACATTTCATACTATTATGTATTGGTGGGTTTCAGTTGGCGTTATACGTCCAGAACAGCATACACTGTAGTGTTTGACAATTATTGGAGTAAGAAAATCAAACTACATTAATTATTTGGTCATTTCTATTAATTTATTACAAATATACAGAACTACTACATATATTTTCTCACTCTGATAACTGCCGGTTGACCACCATCTGCTGCAAGTAGTGCTTAGTGAAACAGGGATGGAAATAAGGGAAACGAATTTGACCGGTAATTTTTACAAATTTGACAAGGCAAAATATTTGACCGGTGTTTTTTTAAAAGCAAAAAATCATGGCATCACCAGTGGGGGGGGGGGGGCTACATTAGAAAACGCCTACTGCCTCCTCCTGTAAAAATTGAAGTCATATGGACTATCACTATCAATAATCGTTCAAGACACTTATTAAAAATCAATATGTAATGAAATATCAATATATACCCTACTGGCTACATAACAATATCAACAGTTTATTAACTACAACTACAACTGTCTTGAGTGTGAACTTTTGCAATAAAATATTACAGAAAACAAGAATTAACTTGCTTATCAATGTCTCACTCTGTCACCAACTTTGACATAAATTCCGGGCTAATGCAATGCAGATTCGTACATGACACACTGCAGTGCTTGGGGATGAGTCTAGCTATATAGGAATACATTGTTCCATTACAACACTAATAATTAGACTTAAACAGTCAGTAACTCTGTAAATAAAGGTTTTAACATGGAAAGCAGTCCTTCAAAATTTGGTGCTTTCACCCTCATCAGTTTTTGAGTTGAAACTGTGATTGAGGTCTTAGTTTGTGGGCTCACATTACAAATTATTCTGCAGCCTCTGGAAAGATAGTAGTTTATTTACATGTGCTTATCATTCTCATAGTCATTCACTTGACTATGTAATGTATCAGTATTTTCCTCCTCACTGCTCCTTTCACTGTCAGCTACATCATTGTCCCAGGTCACTGCATCTGATAGGTTCAGGAACAAGCCAGGATCTTTGTCAAGGTTTGGTTTCTTGGACGTTGTTCGTTTCTTGTACTTCTTTCTCTTCTTCTGGTTCAGTCTCCTTGGCTTGTCATTATACCAATTTGTCACAGCTTTGATGATTACTTGTGATACTGGCAATTTTGCCATATCAGGACCAGAAATGTGAATGCGCAAGTTGTCCTCAACAGCTTCTTCACCAAGCCTATTTCGCCAGTCATTCTTCACTACAGCCATATGGCTGAAAAATCTCTCCAAGGTTGCATTGGAGAATGGAGCACAAAGACACAGTTCAATCACAGAAAACAATTCTGGGTAGGATTCACCTTTGATTTGCTTGAGAGTTGGCCACAACTGTAAAGGTTCCATGCTAGTTATATTGTTTCCCATAGGGTCGCAGGTATACTTGACAAGCTGTAAGTACTGCTCCTCCAGAATGTCAGAACTTATATCAGTGCCAAGAACTGGCTGGAACCTTTCATAAATTCTCTTAAGTGATGTGATTTGATTACAGAAGCGAGAAGACAGTTCCTCCCAGCTAAGTGGTTGATCAGTTGAATTTATCCAGACTGAAGTGCGTAGAACTCTACAGACATCATGCAGCACGTTATCTCCATCTCTCGATTCCTTTGTCACAGCCTCTTGCATTTCCGTTCTTTCCTCTTCTGTTTGAGATGCCACGCTCATTTGAACATGCCACTATGTTTCCCACTATCATGCCTGCACTTGCCAAAATTGTACCCTTTGCCTGCTCCACATTGGTAAGCTTCACTCCCTTGTAAACACTTTCTTCAATTTGTGACAAAACGTTCTTCACCGTAGGAAGCTTGAACACGTGGGCTGGATCTTTCTTGAGCTTTATATACAACATTTGGTAATGAAGCAGTGTGTCGTCCAATGAATCGAGAATTAGCAGAATGTTTATTTCAGCCTTTTGAAAGATCACACTGAATTTTCTTGCAGAGTCAAGTAGGTCAATCAGCAGTGCACTTCTGAGCAGTAATGGGGCACATTTCAGCTTCCTTAGTTTCCCACGCAGCGCTTCACGGTCACACGCTTTTTTCGACGTGTGTCTGCAATAATGTTCTCTATGTGCTGCACATAAACCCCCAGTTTATCAACCATCTGTGAACAGGCTCTCAGTTTATGGTCAATCCATCTGGTACCGCCACACTTTGCTGGTCTTATTTGATTGTTTTCAAATTCGTACACATTCTGCAAGATGTGATACAAGACTTTAAGTTCCCGGACTTTCTTTGAGCTGTTCTTGTACATGTAAAACAAGTATCTGAGTGACTCTTCAATTTGTTCCAACTCAGAAGACAAAGCATCCTTCAAACATAATTCAAGACGGTGGGAAAAGCACCACACAAATGCAACCCAAGGCAAATCTTTCCTAAAAAGAGTGATCAGTCCATTGACCAATCCAGAGTTTGTGGCAGTACCGTCAGAAGGCAAAAATACCAACTTTCTTAACAGGTCACTTAACCCTCTTTTTTCAAATGACATTTCAATGGCTTGCTTAATGCCCTTCGCATCTTGGGAAACAGGATCTTTGAGAGCAAAGAACGAACACAATGGTACAAATGTGTCTGAGTCAACAAATATAACATAAATCAGTTCCTTCTCTACGATGCTGGAATCGGTAGACCCGTCGCACAGTACAGTGAGAAAGTTAGCACGAAGAAGTTTGTTCTTGACATGTTCGTTGAAAATTGTTTCACTTATATAGTGAATAAATTCCTTGCACGCGTTTCTATGATCATAAGCTGCAGGAAACTTAACACCATGCCTTTTTTCCATTTCTAACCAATCCGGGAAATCTGAGTAAGGCCTTGCCTTTTTTGCAAGTAAATAGGCAATTTCGAACGATCGCACAAACAGCTCACGCTCATCTTCAGACATTCGCGCAAAGGATTGCTTCAACGGATTGTTCTCTGGTATTCTATTGACAACTTGCTTGCGATAGTTTTCCCCCATAACTGATCGCTGCTCATAATCAATCGCAGTGACATGTGGTACACTGGTATCATGTTCTTTAACTGCATTTTTCTGCCAGTTAACACTCCCTTCTTTCACAAATGTATCATTATAGTTTCTTGTTGAAACAATACTTTCTCGCCATTTTGAACGTGTTTTACAGAACATGCTATTGCCTTTAATTTCAAGCCATTTAAACTCAGTTTTCCACCTTTGAAAAGTTCCTGGTTTTGGAAGTTTGTTCGCCATTATGTTACGAAAAAATTGCTAATTCCCGCCAGTGATTCCCGCCCTTCTCAGGACGCAAGCGCCTGCACGCTCAATATCCAGCGGAAGATACATTTTAGTGCATCATATATGAAGTACTGCAGTTCTGATTTGTAATCACAAGAAAATTCAAGACGACGCTTCGAAAAACACTATCGAAATTAAGCACTCAGTAAACTATACGAAACCTGTTTGCGATTACTTTACTATTGACATATCTATTTGGCCGTTGATTTATCTAAATTTGGCCGGTAATTACCGGTCACCGGCCGTTATTTCCATAGTTTCTGGACTGAAACCTAACTGTATATAAATTAAAGGCTTTATAGAAATTAAAGTGGTACCGTGGCAAACAAATATATGTGGTATTTCCACAAAACAAAACAATGATAGCTATATCGCCATGCAAACATATAAGATTGTATTTCTCAGGAAGACGATGTATACAGTACCTTCTTTTTGCTGTTGTCGTGCTGGCGACTGCAGCATGAAAGAGTTGTAAGGATTACTGAAGCTTGCTGTATAAGGGGATAAATTGGAATATGTTTGAGCCAAGGGGTCAGCAGTTGATACAGCAGTCATAGCATTCTGCATTGTCCCCATAGTTCCCAAAGATCCAGGGTTTGTTCCAAGTGAAGCCATTGGATTGACGCCACCAATACCAATGTTCTGCATATTTGGAAATCCCAGAGGGTTTACTGTAAAGGAAGGACAATATCACAATGTCAGTAACACTTATTGTATGTACGAAGATAACAGACTTTATTTATATTACATAGCCATATCATTTCTAACTGTTTTTCCTACAGTCCAAAAATTTGATCTCGGTTCCGGTTCCGGTTTTTTTGGAACAGAAAAACCTCGGTTCGCTTCGGTTTTGGCTATTTTCAAAAAAGATGAACAGTACAAATGTATGAACCCATTTACGTATGTTTCGAGCATTTTTACTAAATAGATGAATTTATGCCTTTGTAAGTTTGTATAAATCTCTGAATATTTTAAAAGAACAATTGGAATTTATTTATGAACATAAAATATTTCTTTTAAAAAAAAATTAAAGCAATTGCACAACAATAACTATCACAACTAAAATATCAATTATTTGAGCACTTAGTACAGTGCATATTGTGCATAAAGAGCACAATCTTGTTATTTTCCAAACATTTCAACCTGCAATCAGGTGGGCGTTTGGCAGGCGTTAAACGGGAAATTAAAACCGAAACTACCGGTTCTTTGCGTATAATTCTTCGGTGCTAAAAAAGTACCGGAAGAACCCAATTTTTCGGTTAACCGCACAGCTCTTAGATCCATGCAACTCAATTTCTTCTTCATGCAACTGAGGTGAAATTATAATTAGACAGGGATGGATCCAATCTCAACTTACATCCACCATAACTGGTCAATCCACTCATAAGAGGGTTAAGATTGGCAGTTGAGGCAACATTACTGGTTGGTGTAAAAGGCATGCCCGATGCTGTTGAACTCAAACTGGAAGGATTCAACATTTGATTGTTGGGTTGTTGTACTTGATTCTGTTGCTGTTGTTGTTGACTTGCAACTGCCGCAGCAACCAATGAACCAAATGCTCCTGGAATTAAACCTGGAAAACACATTTGCAACCTTTGGATGAGATTCCTTTTAGTTTCATGCTAATATTACTAAGTTTAGGAGAGGGATGTTAGATTTAGTTTAGAATATAGGTTAGAGTGAGGTTTACACGTAGTATCTTGAAGAAAGATTGCAAGCTACAGTACAAGCAAGACCACAAACCAACATGTTCTTTGGTGGTACAGTTAGATGTATTGTGGCAAATGAGGCATCTGAAATGTTCCTTTGAAGCCAAGAAACTTGTACAGAAGAACTACAGTATAACTGCTTATTTTTACTATAATTAACTTGGATGGGTATTAGTATCTGTTTTATTAATTTCAATAATTGTTAACAGTTTTTCTGTCATTCGTCAGACAAGTGACTACTTTTCCCAGCTATCAATCTAGAGTACAGACGCATTGCATCGCCAACCAAGCTGTTATATCAGTTGATAAAACCTAATTCTAAAACCTTTGAATCAAAGTCAAAATCTTTGTGGCTTCATGTTAACCATGCAGACATGCAAAAAACACTACAAAGGAACTGCATGGCACGGGATGCCATCGCGGGTTCACATTTTGGACACAAGTTCATACTTCAGATGCAGTATACTGTATTAATGGAGCTCACAGGGGTTAGGACCAGGGTTAGTGTACACTAAAGGTAAGATAACATTAGAATTGGAGAAAGGGTTAGAGTTAGAGTTAGGTTTAGTTTTAGGATTAGGGTTACAATTAAGGATTGAAGAGGTTAGGTTTAGAAATTTAGAAGTGGCATTACTGTATGTTTACAGAAGGACTGAGGTTACAGTAACTTTTCGAGCCAACTGCAAATTAAATCTTACCAGCTGCTGTAGGTAGCCCAGGCAAACCTCCAACTAAACCACTTTGAAATGCTCCTTGTAATGCTCCAACTGATGCAAGTTGCTGAACCTAGGAAAATTAATTTGACTAAGGCGAAGTCATGATCAGAATATCAGATAGATACATGTATACTGCAGGAACTGTGGTACGAACAGCAGGAAAGTGTTGAGTTTGTTACGGTAATTAAAACGATTTATTATATAAAGTATAGTGCTTTATAGAGATTTCGACCACTGATAAAAGTGATAATCCCACATGTGAGATTATTCATGATAATCTCACATGTGAAAATTATCGCTTTTCAATTATCGCTTTTCTGTAAAAAATATCGCTTTTCAAAGACTGTCCTTTATATAATAAACAGAAAATACATGGGTGCTTGGAAATACCAGATTTATTTCTCGTGTTGAAAATGATATCTCACTCGTTCGCTGCGTTCACTCGTGAGATAATAGAGATATCATGTTCAACACTCGAAATAAATCTGGTATTTCCGCGCACCCATGTATTATTCTCTATTTAATATTACATACCTGTTGATAATATGCAGCATTCAAACCATGAATGGCGGCCATTGCATTCACTCTCTTGAGCAGTTTGTCTTTTTCAGTGTCTGCAAATTTCACAACTACTGGAGATGAACAACCCTAGATGAAAAAAAAATTCCAGAAAATATGAAATTATTTTTCTATGTCACAATTTCTTTCTGGATGTGAACAGATGACCTTACGCATTAAATTTACTCTATCCAATGTCATGCACAGTCAAAGGTGTTTACCAGTAATTTAATGTGCTTCGTAAGGCACTAAAATTTTCTCTACTAAAATTATAACAGCTCAGTCTGGTGTCTTCTAGAATAACTCAGGGAATTACCTCCATCGTACGACTATTGTGCATGACATCAATAGCTTTTTGAGCTTGCATTTTATTTTCGAACATGAGAAATGCACAACCTGAAAAAATGAGTACAACATATAATATGACTACAGTCGAATCTCTAATTAATGGATACTCTTTTTGGTGATTGACATCTCTAGTTAGGGAATACAATCAACAATCCCTACCTTTGCTTCGTTTATCAGCATCTCGAAGTACTGTTACATTTTCAATTGTCCCAAATGGAGCAAACATGAGGCGAAGATCATCTTCTGTGGAAGCCTTGGAGATCATACCAACAAATAGTTTGCGATCATCTGGAGAAACAAAATTTATCTCACTGTTGTTTTGACATCAAATTTGAGTAAAGAAAATTTGAGTAAGAACATTTGATCAGAATATTACCAACCTTTTTTCTTATCTTTGTCTGCTGGTTTTACTTGCATTGTATGACCCATCTAATAAAAACAACATACTTTTGTTTAACATACAGTTTTACTGCACCATCATATCACAATATGTGGTTATTTGAGTAGCATATCACAATATGTAGAACTATCACAATATGTACAGGTAGATAATTCACATGCCTAGTTACTATAATACTTGTTCTAGTTTACAGAAGCATAAAATACAGTAGAACAAGGGTAACTGAGCTTCAAAATTATCTACATGCCTTGAGTGCAAATAACTCTTATACTAAATGCATAACTGTAATGGTTATTTACCTTTAATATTATATGTTTCTGTCAACTAGAATGATTATAGTAACTATGAATGTGAGTTATATAAAAGTGTGAATGGGGTAGCAACTACTGTACACTATTTATTTATTAAGCTTTGCCATGCATCCAACAATACTTAAACAGTTACAAGAACAAAAAGGCTCAACAACATCAACACAGCATGAGCCAATTACGTTGATGACCTGGTTTATAAAATACTGTACAACCTATACAATATAAAACATATATGGACATGCGCACAATACACTCTTTTGATAACATGTAAACAATGTTAGCCGGTTTTTTAAATTGAGATGTGTACAATGTACATACATAGTTTAATTATAAAGTGCCAGCATTTCCCTCATCACACCTATCGATTGCTAGTAAGTATTATATTTAGTTTGATATCAGATATTAATATGTGCTCACCCCAGGTAAAGTTCTTTTGTCATGCAGGTCATCTTGAGCTTTCAATGCTGATGCTGAATCCCGGAATGTAACAAATGCACAACCTGCCACATGATATAAAACATATAAATAAATATATCAAAATAAGTTGACTTTTGGTCTCCAATTACGCATCACTTCCTACAGTACAAATCTGTTCAATAACAGTTAGTAGACTCTAAGTTAAAGTTCATTTGATGGACAAAAGTTAACGCTATATAAATGCATCAATAAATAAAAGCATGCGGTCTTCCGAATATGGAAATATGTTCCAAATATGGAATTCAAGCCAAGGTAAATTGGTGAATCTTGAACTAGGGCTAATCCAATCGCAGCGGTATATTTAAATTTTCTACACCCAGATTAGGATGCTTCCAGCTCGTTCGCTGATGCTCGCTCGCTAAGTCTCAATAATTTCCATTAATAAATATTATTAAAGTGTGTGAGCAAATAAACTGCCTTCAGTTGAAAGTGTGCAGAAGCAACTGAAAATGACGAATAAGTACATGAAAATGACCAATAACCAGACAAGTACAACTGCCCATGGGCCATTCCTTTTAATATCCATACACCCCTGTTGACAAAATTTTCCAAAGTGGTTGTGAAAAATTTTCTGAATTTCTGAGGGGGTACCAAGGGGGTCAGACAAAAGTAAAAATTTCTGAGGGGTTTATAGAACCCCCCAAAAAAATTCCGAGGGGGTAGAGAAAAATTGTAAATTTCCAAGGGGATAAAAAATCAGAAACCTCGTCAACAGGGGGTGTTTCTGAAAGGGTAAGAAAGTCATACAAAATTTCCAAAGGTTATAAAATGTGAAAAATTCCAAAGGGGTTTCTCTTAATGGAACCTCATCAACAGGTATTCCCGTGGGGGGGGGGGGGGGGGGGGAAAAAAGAAAA